GGGAGAGAGAGAGGGAGAGAGGGAGAGGGAGAGGGAGAGAGAGGGAGAGAGAGGGAGAGAGAGGGAGAGAGAGGGAGAGAGAGGGAGAGGGGAGAGAGGGAAAGAGAGGGAGGGAGGGGGAAGGGGAGGGAGAGAGAGAGAGGGGGAGAAAGAGAGCAAGAGAGACAGAAGGGAGAGAAAGAGAAAGAGAGAGAGGGGGTAAGGGGAAGAGAGAGGGGGTAAGGGGAAGAGAGAGGGGAGAGGAAGGGAGAGTTGGGGAGAGAGGGAGAGAGAGAGGGGGAAGAGGGGAGAGGAAGGGAGAGAGGGAGAAAGAGAGAGAGGGAGAGGGGGAGAGAGAGCAGGGGAAGGGAAGGGGAGAGGGGAGAGAGAGAGAGAGAGTGGGAAAGAGAGAGAGGTCAGGAATTGAAGGGTGTCGTTCCACACCCCTTCATCATGAACAGGTTTCTTAATTATCAATGAGCTGCATCATAACATAACAAGCCTAGTTAAGATCAATGTAATCAACAACCTTCATTAGATGAATTCATACTTTGCAAGGTCAAGTTGGTGGAGGAGATGGGGTGCGATTTCACATTAAAAAATTATGCACAACATCAATAAAAAGCTTCCATGGAAATCATTAATGATACAGTACTACTTAGCCCATTCAAGACCAAACTAGAGGAAACTGTAAAAAGACAACAAAACTGCTGCCAATAGGTTTGATAAAGAATGCCTTAAAATTATATAATCTTGTCCCCCCTTAAAAGAAATTGATTTGTCCCCCCTCCCCCAACAAACCATGTTACACAGTTGCTTTCAAGAGTACAACTACATACATGCAGTGAAAGTCCAGTCAGTGAGGCTTAAATCTTAGCCTCTTTATTGATTATTCAACAGTAGACTACGAAAATATTAAGGAAACAGTCACTTTAATGAGTGAAACAGGCTACACTCTAACATTTTCGCTATGGACTCTTGGACAAGTGATTCCTACAGATTTTAAAATGTTAAATTTCCATTATCTTGTACTTTGACACTTTTACTACACCTAACATCTCCTTTAAAAAGTGCTGTCTTTTGCTACCACAGATGGGTACACTGAATATGACGTCAAATATTCATAGTTATTTTTAGGACATTTTTTTGCCATTCACAAAATTTGATTTAGCAAGGTGTTTGTTAACTATCCACTTATCTTGATGGAAGGGAAACACTACGCCACGACAGAATCTAGTTAGGAAGACTGTATTTTCTGCAAGATCTACCATAGTATTGCTAGATCTTGCAGAAAATACAGTCTTCCTAACTAGATTCTGTCGAGTATTGCTAGATAATCAACCCCCTCTGACTAGGCACAAAATCGTAAATCTAATTTGTTTTCTTCTTCCCGTCGTCATCAAGAGGTGCTATATACGTCTTACCGTCTAGGTTCTGGCAAAAGAGGGAGCCATCACAAATTTAGTATATGCTAGATTGAACCGCTCTATTTTAGGTGACACAGTCAGGTATAATTTGACAATCGTATGATCATTAGGAGTGAACGATCATTGACTTAATCCATGGCAGATTAAGAAGGGCAGGAGAACATATCTAAAATCTGTGTGTACTTATACTTCAAGATCAATATTTGCTGTGCCACCCTCTGTACTAAAGTTTGTGGACATTTTGTCAGAGGTTTAAAAAATTCACATCCTTCAGGGTAGAAATGTTGGATATGCCACTTTTAAAATTGGAAAATGCTGAATTCATTTCCATGGGCAGTAAACCAGATGTTTGCATTATACAAAATCAACTGATTTTATGAAAATACTTGCAAACATGCTCTTGTTGAAACTTACATTCCAATTAAAACCACCAAAGGTAGACAGAAAGTAGTATACAGAAACAAAGTTCGAGTATGGGTCCGATAAAAGCTCGAGCACAAACTTGTGCATATTGAATTATCGTTTCCTTTAAAACATCTGATCCAAAACTCACGATCCCAGGTATGATCAACTTGCGACCCTGATGCAGGCCTATGTAAGGCACTATTCTGCCTTGAAGCTGACAACTGCATATTCTGTGATACAGTACATATATAAAACCTCTACTTCAGCAACGATTGGCAACAAATTTGCCACAACAGAAGGCACGAAGAAAACTGAAGTAATATCCTCTACGACGTCGCAGAAACAGAAACCCACCTACATGTTAGCACTCCATTTACCCTGTCCCCATCGATGTGCAACACCTGCAAATTCTGTTATACAGACAACAAATCGAAACTCCATTACAGCAAGGATTGCCAACAAATGTGCCACAACACTATTCTGGAAGAAAACTGAAGTAATATCGTCTGCGACATCACAGGTAAAAAAAACACCTAAATGTTAGCCATGTTTTTAGCAGGAGAGGCTTCATACGTCAGCACTTAAAGCAGGGAGGAAAGGGGAATAAAATAGGAGAGAAGGTATACTATAACTACTGAGAAAGAAGCATGCAGCAGTGTTATAAGAAGCTGGAGTAGTGTCCCTCTGGAGTTGTACTAATGAAGTTTCCCAAACCTGAAACTAGAAAGATATACAGGCAACAGAGAGAGATATACGATCATGCAATGATTAAGGTAACGTGATGGTGTAGGTGAGAACCCTACAATTAGTACAAAAAGGAAAACCCAGGAGTCAATAACCTGGAGATATGCTGTATTTTCATTGCCAACATATATACAGAATGATGCAAGGTCCAAAAAGAAAGCCTGTAACAAGCTCAGAACAATAGTCTTTTGAGATCAATGTGCTTAATTACAAAGCCATGATTTCAAAATATATTTTGTCTTCGTATTGTTTCAATTTTCTCAGCAATGCTGCAGACTGTATTTCATCCTTTATCATTGCATTTAAGAAATTCATTCATTTCACAGATTTCCAATTAAAATAAGTTGATATCTTAGTTAGATCACATCTAGGATTAATTAAGCTCCAGGAGACATCATGTACTACCTCTGACTACTCCTAGAAACTTACAGCAATGAATATCACTTACCGATCAAGATATGTATTAATTTGTAATGTACTGCCAGGAATTACAATGACAATTGGTATCATTATGTACCTCAATGGGTTTCAAGAGCATTTATGTGTATTTTTCCTCTTGTAAATTAACCAGTGTATTTAGCTTTGATCCTCTTCTGATATATATTCTATTCCTACAAGAAGGAATATGCATTTTGAAATATTTCCTTCATATTGCACAAATCAAGCCCAAATAATTGATTCTATCTGATGGCAGTATGTGAATTTCTAATAAAGATTAAGACACTAGACATGATCTAATTAAAATATCAAGTAGTTCATGCAGTCTGCATGCATGATACATAGTTTCAGATGTATTTATATGATTAATGAGCATCATTCCATTCACTATGCTTGGTGATCAAATATCAGTGTTGTTGAAAGTTTTTTTTTTTTCTAAGCACAGCTTAGACTTTGCCACATGGATCATCTCATTCGTTAAATTCAGGCAAATGTCTGGCCTTAATTCAACCAAGAATCAAACCACCACTGTTGTCGACAGGCAAACAATTCATTCTCCCCAAAACACTACTTTTTCACTTTTGCATTCCCTGACTTTTTTTTTTAATTTTTAAATTCCAGCAATATAAATGAAAATTGTATAATGGAAGTGAGGTCATGCCAGCAAAGATATTTCATACATGTTTATGGATAATGTTACATACCCCAGAATATCTGAAGTACATTTATTGAAATACAAAACATTTTCAGCTATGATCCATATGACCTTCGTAAAGACCAATTTTACAGTATTTTAGATTCAACCCATTGTCTACTGGAACTTGGTGGTTCCTGTATTCACAAAGATCCCAAGTTGAACTTAACTCTAAGTTGGACTTAAACATTATGAAGAGCCATTTGCAGTCTTAAAATCAAATATATTCAAAAGCAAAAATTTAAGTATTTTAGACTTTTCATAAATTCCACATCGAAAACATGAAATCTCCTTGATAATAGAAAATATAGATGATTTGAATCAACATTTTATGCCTTTTAAAATAAATTTAACAAAATACTTCCAAAGATGCTAACAGCTTTTTATAATTGTTAAGTCCAACTTAGAGATAAGTTCAACTTAAGATCTTTGTGAAACACCCCCCTGAGGTGAAAGACCCACATGGATGCATCTAGGTAGGGAAGTGTTCTTAGGAAGGAGTTTAGGGAAGGACTGAAGCAATGTGGATTCAGTGGCCAGGACATGCAGGCCCTCTGGGATCTAAACTTGGAAACATGCACTGTTGGAAACTAGTATGGGTGCAGAGAACCATTACATCGATTTGAATGTAGTAGTAACAGTAACAACTAAATTATTCACACCCCTTGTAAAATTGATGTTTTTAGTGCTTTTCTTAAAGGTAATAAAGACCAGTATTGGAAATGCCCCAATTTCTAAAAATGAAATGGAAGTTCTTATTACCAATCATGTGAAAGAATATGTTTTGATTAATACATGATGATAAAAATTTTGCCGGGAAACCGCCTACTAATTGATATATTTGGTAAATAAGTATATCTATTGGTGTGTGAGAGATATAGGGTAGTCCCATATACATCTTTCTGTATATAGTGCTTGTAACTTTACGAAGAATGGGCCAAATTTCTTATCATTTTGATGATTCCAGAACCTTGCAGTACACACCAATACTTATATGCTAGATGATCAACCTTTTCTGATCGATTCCACAACGTTTCTTTCACAATGCAATCGCATGACCATTACTGGTCTTTACCTTTAACTCAATAAAAGGCGGACTGGTCGATTTAGGACCTTTGTTTAATACTTTTAGATATATATATATCAGGACAAATCAATTTTTCACATACTCAAAAAACAACACAAATTTGGTAGGGTATGAATGATTAAGTTGTTAATTGTGTCGTAAAGAGGCATTCTATAATATAAAGGATGTTGTAATAATACACTTCGTGTGCAGATACATGTTTGTGGGTGCCATGCAGGTGACTTACCTAACTGTGGGGGAGGGGGAGGTGGAAGGGGAGGCAGAGAGTCTTCTAAAATTAGAGGTATGTGTCCATTGTTAGGTGCATTTTGGTTGGGCGTTGGAGCAGTTGGCTTGTTCCCGTTGGCATCGGCGTCCAACTGCTCCAGGAATGCCGCATTGCTATTGGCTACGGTGGCCTCAACCCCATTCTCCAGCTTACTTTCAGGCACCGTCTCCAGCCCGCCGTTGATGTCGCCCCCGTTCAGCATCACGCTGCTCCGCGGGAAGATGTCCGAGAGGCCATTCTTGATGGACGACAGCGTGATCTTCTCCGGGCCGTTGCTCTGCTTCGTGTCGTCCGCGCTCGGGTCACCGTCCTTGCAGCTGACGATGGACGACGTCCGCAGACCGTTGTTCTCGAACTGCGCCCAGCTGTTCCGGTAGATGATGGAGAGTCTTACGGAGTCCGTGGTGGTGTTTTTGGTGGAAGCCGATTCGTCCATACTGCTCTGATCGCTGATACCATTTTCAATCAAGGAGTTGACCGGCCTATCTCCGCTCGATGAGGTGTCGGTCTCGAGTGTTGCTGAATTCCCGCTGGAACTATCCGGCCTATGGACAAAACCACTCATACCCTTTAGAAAAAGCTCGATTGTCAAAACTAGATTGCATAACCACAACTCCTTTGGTATATTTGGTATATATTTTATTTCATTCAAAAATTGTATTGCTAGTCTGTTATTATATTAAATGAAAATAACTTGAGACAATCAGTTGGCTTAATAAGGATCTTCCTATCTAGATGATGTACTCCCTGATATTTTGTGTACGAACGAACGAACGAACTTGATTTTACAGAACAGATATGGATTGTAGTTCTTTTAAATTTGAAACAATAAATATTTTGTTACTTGATTGATTCTTTGGACAATGGTAGAATTACCTTGAATCATCGTTGGATGGCCTATAATCCGTTATGAAGCTCTCAAGATGTTTGATGATCTGTTGTAACCTCGTGGCCGTCTTCTTGGCTTCACTGCCCTTACCATCCATGCCTCCCATCACTGAATTGAGTGCCTCCAACTCCTGTGCAGAGAAAGAACAAAATGCATTTTTTGGTTTTGTTATGGTAACAATAAGTTTTATGACACATCTGCAAGGTATGAACATGCAACACTTTCACTAGGCCTGTCCTCATCAGCTCGAGTTTGCCAAATAACCCACTATTTTCTCCTCCAGACCGATACGCTCATCACAAACTAGCTCGGACGAGCGCAAATTAGCTCGCTATTTCAAAAATTAGAGGGAAATTTTGGAAACAGACCAAGATTTCTCACGATATCTTCTTGACCAAATATCCCGCTAATTGCAACAGCGGGCTGATGAAGACGCAAATTAACTGGTTAATATGCGATCGGAATAGTTAAAATAGCGGGTTATTTGGCAAACTCGAGCTGATGAAGACAGGCCTACTGTTGACATTTAAGACATCTTCCTCAGAAGTGTACTGGCAAACTGAAGGTTTTTTGCTGCCAGTTTTAAGATCACCAAAAGATCCTGTTTATGTGATCATTGTCGCATATGTATATTAAAACTACCAGTATGTTCAACAATTACACTATCTCGATGCATTTGTTCAACAAAATGTGTGCGTAACCAATGGATAAACATTAACATGTACTGAAAGACTAAGTGAACAAAATTCTGTTTTAAATATAACATGAAATACTTAGTTCACGTAATTCAATATCACCAACTTATAATTATATTTTGCAAAAATAAACAAACAAGCGAACAAAACACTACTGTCATGGAAGTGTCAAATTCAGCTGACTTAACATGATCAGTTTGGTTTTGGTGCCTTGGTTTATCTTTTACATTTTATAAAGTAATAACACAACAGTAATGATGCAAGAGGTAATATGTACAATTGTAACATGTACATAGCATACCAACGATGTGTACAAAAATGTTAACTGACTTAAAGTTAAAGATGAAATGAAATGATGAAGACAAAATTAAGTCTCAAAAAGGTGCGGGATGAAAATGGAATACATTCCGCAGATGGTGAAATTTAATCTTACATAATGAAAGCTCCCATATCCTTCTCATTCATTTCTTTTAAATCTAATATGGGACATTTTCCTCCTTTCAAACTCTCATGTCACTTGAGGGAGAGAGAAATACCTACGGAAGCAATCTTCTCTCTCATTCCCTGCAACCAATGGCAACATCATAGAAATTTGAGGAGTTAGAAACAGTGGCAATGTCTTGTGATAACGCGTTACTTAAGCAAGAGCTACTGGTACGGTAGCAATTCTCTCAAACCTTTTTCTACTGGCCGGGTTAAGAGATTATCACAGGAAGGAGGAGAATGATCTCCTCCTCCTTTCTCTGTCACCTCCTGACATATTAGTGGTGATTACAACTGGAGAGAAGGCGAGATCCGGTAGTAATTCTCTTTCATATTTTGCAAGTTGCAACCAGGGGTAACATGCAACATACGAGAGAGAGAGAGAGAGAGAGAGAGAGAGAGTTGGGGGAGAGAGAGAGGGGGGGGGTAGAGAGAGAGAGAAGGAGAGGGAGGGGAGAGATAGAGAGAGAGAGAGAGAGAGAGAGAGAGATAGAGAGGGAGGGAGGGGAGATAGAGAGGGAGGGGAGAGATAGAGAGAGAGAGAGAAAGAGATAGATATAGAGAGGGAGGGAGGGGAGATAGAGAGGGAGAGGGAGAGGGAGTGGGGAGAGACAGAGAGACAGAGAGGAGAGACAGAGAGACAGAGAGGAGAGACAGAGAGACAAAGAGGTGAGTCAGAGAGAGACAGAGAGGAGAGACAGAGAGAGACAGAGAGAGGAGAGAGAGATAGAAAGAGAGAGGGAAAGAGAAAGAAACAGAGAGAGAGAGAGGGAGAGATAAAGAAAGAGATAAAGAAAGAGAGGAGAGACAGAGGCAGAGTCACAGAGAGAGAGAGAGAGAGACAGAGCCAGAGAAGCAGAGAGAGAGAACTCTATACAGTAGCAATTATTCTCTCTAATTTTCGCCAAGTTCCTCACAGGAAGCACTAGAATACTCCTCTTCATTTCTCTGTCACCTCTTGACATAAGTCTTGATTATAACTGGAGGGAAAGCGAGATACGGTAGCGATCCTCTCTCACTTTTTGCAACCAATGGTAACAAGAGAGGAGAGACAGAGGTAGAGTCACAGAGAGAGAGAGAGAGAGAGAGAGACAGAGCCAGAGAAGCAGAGAGAGAGAACTCTATACAGTAGCAATTATTCTCTCTAATTTTCGCCAAGTTCCTCACAGGAAGCACTAGAATACTCCTCTTCATTTCTCTGTCACCTCTTGACATAAGTCTTGATTATAACTGGAGGGAAAGCGAGATACGGTAGCGATCCTCTCTCACTTTTTGCAACCAATGGTAACATGCACCATAATTGAGAGAGAGAGAGAGAGAGAGACAAAAAGGGAGATAGAGAGAGAGAGATAAAGAGAGAGAGAGACAGACAGAGAGGAGAGAGAATGAGAGACAGAGAGAGGAGAGAGAGACAGAGGAAAGAGAGAGACAGAGAGATAGAGTAGAACAGATAGAGAGAGAGAGAGAGAGAGAGAGAGAGATAGAAATAGAGAGAGGAGAGAGAATGAGAGACAGAGAGGAGAGAGAATGAGAGACAAAGAGAGGAGAGAGACAGAGGAAAGAGAGAGACAGAGAGATAGAGAGACAGAGACAGAGGCAAAGACAGAGAGACAGAGAGAGACCTCTGTACAGTAGCAATTATTCTCTCTAATTTTCGACAAGATCCTCACCGGAAGCAGTAGAACACTCCTCATAGCTTGTTTCTATCTCACCTCCTGACACCAGTTTTGATTAACGACATCCTACCATCTGTCTCAACGCTTTCTCCCAAGTATTGAGCTTTCTCTTGCATTTTGTTAATCTTTTCATAATGAGGTGTGTATCATACTTTTAATGTGTTTCCTTCCAGAATTTAGGTTGGGTTAAAAATACTGGTTTGTTGGGAGGCGGATAGGCAAACGTGGCTTGAAGTATTAAAATTGTGATACACAATGTGTCACTCACTGATCACTACTTGATTTTTTTTTCTTCTTCCGGGTAACCATTCTCCCTCCTAGATTTCAGAACTATGCAAATTAAGTGCCTTCAAAAAGGATATTCAATAATTCATGAGTCTTTTATAAACCTTATCTCGCCTGAAGTATAATATTAATACTGAAATGCATTGCTTTTTGCATGTGTACCATTAAAATCAGCAACATATTTGGCTCAATTATAAAGACTTAATATTTTCACCCTCTTCCTGCAAACGAGTTCTAAAATATTCAATCTACAGTGCAAAAGAGTATTTTTTCTTTGCTTCACTTATATATAAAGTACCGTTGTTACCACAGCACTCTACCTTTAGCATGTGACTATGGTAATCCAGGAAATGTTGAAGACAGTTTTAAGGCAGCATAAATCCTTGAAGGATGAAGGATTTTTACCAAAATTTTGTTTGCAACATCCTGTCTAGCACAACACGTTTGATCTCTCCAAGGGATGTAGGTGTCTATTGTTTGAAGAAAATCCTCATTTTCAGCACTAAGTGATATGTGATATTCTCTATTTTGTTTGGTTTGGTCTGATGGTTTGTTTTACTTTGTAAGCAACCAGAGGACCAACGGCTTTAAGTCCTCTCCGAGGGACTTGGTAATAAGGATTAATGCCTCACCAAAGGGGCACTAGCGCATCGACTTGGTTTTGAACCCAGAGCCTCCCGGTTACGAGACCACTGGTCTACCACTGAGCCATCGCGTCTCCTTGTTCATACATATATATATATATATATATATATCCCCTTTTGTTTCTTTGAAAAAAGAAAATAAAAAGGAGAAGAGTGGGAGATTAAGATTGATAAGGTTGTGAGCAGATTACAAAAGTTGAAGAGTGTTTTTCTGAAGAAAAAGAATTGTAGGTTTTCCTCGGTAGAGTAGATCTAAAAAAGAATTTCAAATTAAAATATTCTTTCTTGAACTCTTCTGCTTTGACACATAAGAAAATGGAAAGGAAAAGAGTGGGAGATCAAGATTGAAAAGGTTGTGAGCAGATCGCAAAAGTTGAAGAGTAAAGAGTGTATTTCTGAAAAGAATGTCAGTATTCCTCTGTAAAAAGTTCTAAAAGAGAATTTCAAACTACAGTACCGGTATTGTTTAGTGAACTCATCTGCTTTGACACGTGCACTGTTCATATTCAGGAGAATAACATTTACTGAAAGCCTCAAACCATTAATGGAAACCTCCAGAGAACATTTGAACATACATATCGTTCCTATATTTTCACAAAGTGACGGTAGTGAGGAAAATCTGCACACAAAATGTATGCGATTTTCATTCACTACCGTCACTTCGTGAAAATAGGAACGATATATACATACATAATTACAGAATCGGTGCAACTACACTTTGAATCAATCAGTACATTCAGTTCAAGAGGATCAAACAAAAATATTATACTACGATTAATCCCCTTGAATGTATTGATTGGTTCAAAGTTTTGTTGTGCCTATTCTCTGTAGGTCCCCTGGTGAGGGAGCATCAATGGTTGAAAGTTTTCAGTAACCCTTAATCTCTTGACGATGAACTGTAGTATTGTGAATTTTTCTCACAGAACAAAATCCAGGGAAGGCTACAAATCTGTGATGTTGCTATCTTGAAAAGGGATCAGTTTATTCACCCCTGCATTCATGACTCAACCTGGAGCATAGTAGAATATCAATTTTGTGGCATGCCAAACATAGACGTGAGGATAAGACCATTAGGGTCGGCGCTGTAGTGACACAAGCAATTTGTTCTGTGAATTATCACCCTTGCTACTAGATGAATGTTAGATAGCAAAGTGGAAGCAGGATGAGATCGTGTATCTCTTTAGAGGAGCTATTTTCGGTGGTTATTAAAGTAGTGTGGAATTGAGAAACATTTTTTTTCTTCTTCAAATCAATTTTGGTCATCTCTTTTCCTCTATCCACAAGATAACTTCATTCATGGTAACGATTCTTGCATCAGTCATAGTTCTTTTGGAGAACTTCTGAAGATCATGACCCCTCCATTCTCATGGTATGCCACTTATGTTATTTATGACATAAAGTTTTGTCTACTTGAAATCACTTCAGGACTTTCTTTCTTAAAATTGAAGACTTTATTAAGTCTTTTGTCTGTGGATACACATCATGCCTTTACTTTAGCTCACCCTTAGCTCCCTATACAGTGCGTCCCAGAAAAAATGAAACCAAGAATTATTGATGTTTTATGATAACTTAATTGCATTTATAATTAATAAATGACACATATTTGTAAAGCTTAGATCCTCTTCTTTCATTTGATGCAACTCATATGATGCATGAAGTCTTTCGTCTTCTTTGTGCATGGCTGATCTTCAACGAAACAAAGTTAAGTCTTTTGTTTGTTGCTACGGCAAGCAGTCAGTAAAAACGAATTTGTTTAATCAAATTATGGAAATGCAAGCATTACTTTAAAAAAACAGAATTTTGTTATTCCTGGCTCATTTTTTCTGATTGAGGTGTCATATGAAAGGGCAGAAAATGAAGTTTTTAGAAATGTGATTTTCTCTTTGAAATTCAGATACCGCCTGCCAAATGACTTTTTGGTACCCTCTCTTCAAATTGTTTTTAATTACTCATGCGTGAAATATGCATCATATGAAAGAGGAGGATCTAAGCTTTACATATATGTGTCAGTTATTAATTATAATTGTGATTATTAAAGTTATGATAAAACATCGATAATTCTCGGTTTCGTTTTTTCTGGGACGCCCTGTATAGCACCCATATGGTTCAATCAATTAGTACCTAGTTACACCCCTTGAAGACAATCTTGACCCCCTCCTATCCTCCTTTACATCCCCTCCTAGCTTCCTGATAAACACCCGGCCAGTATCCCACACCCATAACTAGCACATGTGATCATTAAGGGTGTTCATTCATACACCACAGTACTCATCTTGGTGACATAGCCTGTAAACAGAGATGCTTTGGGTACCAACTTAGGACAGTAATGCTACAATTACGTTCATATTAAAGCCTATCTGCACTAGTTTGGCCAGGAGGGACTAGACCTCCCTGCGTGGTTACTGACAGGTGGTTATATCTCATCAAATCAGCTCTCAATTAACATCAGAAAAAGAGGATCATGGGGGACCAACAGGGAACCGCTTAGGCATTGTTGGCTATATAGAGGGCGCAAGTAGCTATGTAGCGCAGTGGGGCTTTAAGGACAGTAATGCCACAACTGAATGTATATTAAGATCAATTATTGTATCATTAGATACAAAATTTTGGACAAAAGTAACTCCATCACTGTTATCCCTAAGTGTTTATTGACATCTTTTATCTCATAGTGGCTGCCTTGCTAAAGCCAGGGTAATAATCGGGGCAGCGCCAGGAGCATCACAATGTGACAGACATGTGCGCTATATAAGAAGCCACCATCATTATCAATATCATTATAGTTCTATAAGTGTGTTAATCACCTTTTATTAGAGGGTTGAAATATTGATAACATCTTCAGATCTTGATCTGCTATTTACAATAACAATGATTTATAGTGCAAGAAGGCATTACATTCTAAAATGTAAACTCCTCTCTTTTAAACGGGTGCTATTATTGGATCTTATCTGATCAGGGAAAAGTATAAATTAACTAGTTTTCAACAAGTAGTCATTATGCTTGCAGCTTTATTCAGTGTCTTTGGCCTTGTGCATCTATAAAGGCTTGTTGAAATAAATCATAGTATTTTGTTCTTTGGTGAATGAAAGTGTAATATACTATACATTTCTGTATCTTATAACACAGAGCTTAGTGGATAAGGGTAGGGTCTTTGTTTGCAACTCTATTTAGGCCTTGGCCTTCTAGTTCTATTAAGGCTTTTTCCAGAAATATGATGTGGTATTAAAACGGCTGCAGTTTTTTTAATGACTTATGTAAAATATCCTTCACAATATGCCTTCATTTACACGTTTACAAAAATGCAGCAGTTTACCACATTTATCTGAACAAGCCGTAAGTTTTTATATAAATCTGAAAAGAAATCAAAACTTCAAACCAATTACCTTCCAGAACATTGCGGTTTCTGTTTCAAGTCTACATGAATATGGAACGAGAAAATGAAAAGTCAACAGAGTGAATCAAAAATATATCATATCCATAGAAAGATATTACACTTTACCTCGTAGTAGCCTTTGAGCATGGTATTGATGCTTTCTCTCTGTGACTTGATGCTTCCATTGGTGGTAACAGCACTGGTGTTGAAGCTATCATCTCCCAGGTTAGCCACAGACTCTCTCCTATCACCACACGCATAGCGAATAGCCTGAATGAAGCAGAGAGACACAGAGATCAAAGAATAAAAATCATAATTGTTCTGTTTCACGCAGTTTGGCAAATTGTGATGACAAGAAATGACACGTATAGAACGCAGACTGTCTAAAATCAAACTGTTATCAAACAGTAGAACCACTGTTAGGATATGGAGCTGTTATATGCCTACGCCATCTCAATAATGCTTAACAATGCTTAATGATAGCTACACTTTCATGCAGGTATGTTCATATAGATAAAAATTTAGATAAACAAACATCGCTAACTATTACCGGTATGCATTTTGTGTTACATATTTGTCTTTTCTTGGCACTACATTTCTCTAAGCCGCCTCCGCAAGAGGGACCATTACGGTTACAGTGATTTAGTTTGCTTTTCTCTTCCCCGGCAGCCAACGGATGCACTCAGAGGACCTCCAGGAAGATTGTGCATTTGTAATTGACATTCTCTTAATGTTTGTTTACTTATATTTACATTGTTATATTTTTTGTGAATTGCAGAATAAATAATAATAATAATAATAATGTATACAAATACAAATAATTGGTATAAATGAACTTCAAGAGCGAAATGTTAAGGTCTAAATCCTAGTATTATTCTAGAACACTCGTGCACCACTAGGATTCTTTAAACAAATTCTTGTTTCTATAACAGGTTTTTCTAAAATCAAATCTAGGGCTATATGTTTTGTTTTAATGTTACATATAGCTTTGCAATATTGTCTAAGGGAACAAATTTAGTAATGTATGAATCTGTTTCTATTTTTGAGACAAAACAAATAGCTATTTTTATCCAAACTTTCAGTATACAACCACACATTGATATTTTTAGGACAGAATTTGATGCCATTGGAATTTAAGTAGTTAATTTAAGTCTCAAAGGTATTCTAGATGACCACAAAAGATATCCATACACATCATGGCCCGAATTCACGAAGGAGGTTTATCGACAAACCTTGGTTTTCGTACGTCATATGACGCGTTTTACGCGTTTTTTACAAACCTGGTTTGTAAAGAACAAAAGGAGGTTTGGCGAAACAAAAGGAGGTTTGAGCTCAAACCTTGCTTTGTGAATTCGGGCCCATATCTATTTTTATTTTACACATTTACATGTAAATATCATCAATGCGTAGTCAAAATTTCTGAATCCTCAGTACAGTAAATAACAAAAAATAATCTGAAATTGAAACATTCAAAATACAATTTAAAAAAACTGTAAAAAAAGACATTGAAGAAAGAGAACATATTATAATAGGTAAGGAAAAACATTTGAACAACATCCCACATGAACAATTAAGGCAAAATAACCCAATATACATGTACACAGCAAGCCCTAACAAAAATAACATGCAATTATTAAATACACGTTACTTACTTTAATCTGAATAATCTCGATAGTCAAGCACGTTTCTACTAAATAATACATGATCTCTGATCATGTGACGTTTAGCCACATCGAATTAAAACTCCCAACAGAAGGGTTATTCACTTTAATTATCCACTAAGTACTCAAAACTATGTAGATGAGACCAACCAACAAAGTGTACAAAAATCCATACAATGAACCCATAATACTGAGAAATTCGCAAACCATTACATCCACACAAAACCTTTACATGAACCCTGTATTACCGCTTTTCCTCCGAATTAAAACATTAATTTATTCTCTCAATCTCACTCTCGCAGACTCACAAACTTTATGTTTAATCGGATTTGTCCATTGAGTGTAATTTTAGTGTTTTCAGTTATGCTAATAATTAGATGTATACACAAAGAAATTTACATTCTATTTCTTGAGATATAAACATTTAATCACTGATTGTTTTTTTAAATGATTAAAATATCACTGAAGATGACCAAGCCATAGAGGTCTACATAACAAGACTAATCATGTCCAAATATATTGTGTTTACCCCTTTTTTTTTGCAGCCATGTACACATTTAGATTCATGTTCATTTCCGGGCTTAATTTGATAGCACGATACTCTGAATATTTCTGATATTCTTCCAAATGAATTGCTACCCCCAAAACGATCTAACACTATGACTCACTAAGTCACTGTACACGTCTCCCAAATGGGCATTAATGATAAGAATGTTGATGGGAGCATAAATGACATTTTCTGTGATAATACCTGGGATAAGCTAGGAATTTAGTCATCCATTTACGTTTAGATTGATAAATAATGAAAGGATAGTTAACTAAATATGATCCAACAATTTGTATTTGACAAGTTCTTGGATAATACCTGAGACAAACTGAAATCTAGTCATCCATTTACATGTAGATTGATAAATAGTGAAAGGACAGGTAACTATCCATGATCTGACAAGTACAATATATTTGGAGTATTTTTCAGGGACATATAAATCTGATAAACAATCTATCTGATCTCACAGGATCTAAATGAGATATTGCCATGGTCAAATGAACGTGTTGAGTATGTGAGACCATAACGTTCATGATTTAAAACTTTTGGTAGCGACATGTGATCGCCTTTGCAAAAAGGATTTTGATATGCCTGTTACCTTTTAAGCATGATTTTAATACAACAGGAAATGATACAAAATGATTTTTTAGGGGCCACCCGGGGAACAATATTTACATGCTAAAAAGGAAGTTCTCAAAGTTCTCCAAGCTTCTAGATTACAACTTACTGCAGAAACTTTACCTTCAACAAATTAAAAATACTTTGATTTTCTACATCATACAATTTCAATTTTACAAACAATTGATTGGCTTCTAAAATAAATCAAGATTCATGCCAATTACTTAAGCTTTAACTCATCATCTTCCCCACAGAAGGACATGAGTGAGTTAATTCCTACTAATTCAGTATAATTTAGTCCTCTATACTAATGCCTCTCTGTTGGGCACAGAACAAACTTACCTTGAACCATTCATCTCGAAGTCTCTCTACTTCAGTTGCAGTGGCATTCCCACTCAATATGACTCTGAAACTGAAAAGTAAAGATAAAGAAAAGTAATGATGAGTTTAGATGAACTTTAGAACAAATCAAGGTGTCCATATCACATTACAAAACCCTTTAAAATGTTTATTCACTTTTGAAAATTCATAATTAGCTAAAAAAGACAAAAGTTTCAAAAAGCGATACTGTTATTCAAAATAGTAAATATGCAAGTTTGGAACACATTATTAGGTACTTTCAAGGATTTCATTACTAAATCTTTGAAATGGTAATGTAAGATTAATTTCAAAATATCATCCTATATTTAAATAAGAAATTTCATTTATGTTGTATGGTCCAGAGGAGACTTTTTCAAACTGTATCATGCTATAAACCTATAAAACTATATTATGCTTCGTTTGTTTGTGTCTCCTTAGATCAAGATTAATGTTTCTTGATCTTCGGAGTAGTTATGCTAAAACCTTTGCATACATATCAATTGTTTTTCTGCAATATCCAGCTTGCATTGGGCCATAGAGGGGGTGTTAGTTATATTGAGTATGAATTTAATATTGAAAATAAATTTCATTGAGTATGAATTTAATATTGAGTATTAATTTCATTCAATAAATAATGTATGGCCATGAGCAAACTTTCAAACATGCTTACAACTGATTAAACTGGACCATGCTAAAAGCCTATCAAACTCTGACCAGGGATGCCAGTCAGTTTTACTCACTGGGCCTGAAAAGAAGCCAGAACATGTTAAAGCCCCACATGTGCTGTGCAATATAAGGCCTGAAACAGCCTGAAAAAGCCTGAACTGGGAAGTTGTAAGGGCCTGTAGACTGGCATCTCTGTATAACACACTAAAATCCTATATAGCATGTATGTTGCTTGTTTTACTGCTTTACCCACTTTGAATGGAGGCAATTCAGGGGGTAATGAGTGTCCCTATAAATCTGAACTTTAGATTAATCCTAATCCCATGGCGATCTGATAAAAATAGGTAGCTTCTACCACACCAATTAGCCCGCTTAGGTTACCTATAATTATCTACCCCCAACAAATCGCTGATTCATGATATAAGATTGAAGAGAGGCTTCTTCCGATTAAGACGTGCCTGATTTTATAGTGTGCTAAATCATCCCTTTACATCTGCACTCTCTAAGCTAAATATATGCACAAGATACGTTCCATTGAAATTAAGAAATGGTGCATCATTTCCGTGCAAAATATTGTTAAAGCTAACTGAACCAGGAATACATTTCTGTTGTTCATTCCATCATCTTACAAACAAGATGCTAGAACTCTTTTCTTTTAAACAATTTTAATTGGGACTCCAAGTACACTGTATGTTCAAATGTGTGTCCTATTGGTTTTTGCATTCATTATCTTCCTTTCAGTAACAAAGTTCTATATGTTGATGCCAAAACAATCAAGAAATAACCGGTTCACCAAATGGGACCAATGAAATTTCTCTTAATAAAATACCTATCACAATTACTTATAATCCATTCTTAGAATATATAGAAAAGTCACATTCATGCCTTTTCGCTTTATGAAACGTGAATAATTAGAGCAGATTAGCTAGATGACCTTATATATCTTGGAGGGAAGCATGATATTGTGGTCTTATCTTTCACAACATCCCACATTTCATGTGACTTATTTGGATGGGAACTACATTGCTCACATGCATGTGACTCTCCCGATTTAAAGGAAACGATTGAAATAATACATTTATTTTTTCATTCTGAATCTCATAATAAGACTGCTTTCAAACCATACATCTTTTTTTTAACACAATATAAGTGAAAGTTCTAAATAGGTATGTTATGCTTTTCTCAATGTTGACAGAAAACACATGTACTACACTGATTGCAGAATGAATTCAACAAAATTTTATCATAAGAAAATAATATAATGAATATATAATAATAACATAAAGGTCTTATGAGTTACTGACAATATATGTATTGACATTTCTATGATAAAATGCAACTTGTTGATATTTACAGACACATTAAGATAGATAAACAACAAAGTTGCAATTATTTCAAGATTCCAGATTGCAAGTTGTTAATGATAAGGTACAAGAACTGAAATAGCGTGTTACATAATCTTTTCACACCTTCTTTTTGCAATACAATAAAGTACAAAAACAGATAAAGAGATACATTTCGGAGGGGGGGGGGATGTGTACAAAAATGTGATGTATAAACAAAATGGCAAATAAGAATGATAGATACTTACAAATAGACCTTCTTCCTTGTTGAGATACTGAAGCCATTGTTGTTGACCTTCTTGACCAGATTGACCTCTCTAGAGAGTTGAAGAATGTTGAGTGCCTGTTGGTTGTCATCGTCAGGTTTGTAGTAGGACAACTCTCCTTGTCTTATCCTCACCCATCGCCTATCAAAGCAAGGACCATCGAGAGAAAAGATTATAGCATTCGGTTGTCTTATCGTCATCACTTCCCCACCGAAGCAACTATCAGTGAGAGTTACATAAGTAATATTGAAACACTTGGTTAGTTTGTCTGTTGAAGGTTGGTTTGTTGAAGGTACTGTGGATACCATCTTCCCTACTGGTCTCTCCATTGTAGGTACTGTGGATAACGTCTTCCCTACGGGTCTCTCCATTGTAGGTACTGTGGATATCGTCTTCCTGACAGGTCTCTCTATTGTGACAGGGATGTTTGGTTGTAGAATTAGGGGGGCCATGTTCCTGAGAGCAAGACCCAGGTTTGTCCTACCCTTGATGGTGAATAGTGATCCACGGTGCTGGTCGAGGGTCTTCAAAGACTTTTTCTTGATACAAACATGCAGGAGACATACAAAGAGAAAGGGTAGCATCCTGGAGCTGTCCAGAGTATCAAGGACAGACTGGACTTGCTTGGGATAGCTATGAAGCTGAACTAAGAGACAGAGATGATGCCGTCCACTTGAAGACACTCCATTTGAACAAAGGCATGGCTGCTTCAGCAACAATATAACAGAGGAATGACATATTCTTGGTAAAATGGGATGCACTGAATTAAAAGAATGTTCTTCTCTATGTTGCAGTTCAGGTTGGACGAACTCATGCCCTGTCTTTTTGCTCCATGGTGCAGGATTGTACAGTCCTGGAATGCCCACCAACATAGGTTGCAAGACAACTTGTCCTAACATTTTACTTTACTCCTTCTGTCGCAGATCACCAAGAATTGTACGGGTTGATACTATTCTACCTCAGACCACAGTTGTCCTTTGTGAAAATTATCCTTAAATGCATCTATGGAGAATTATTTCTCTGCATATAACATCAAACCACAGAATCAGCACCATGTCACTTTAATCACAAGCAATTAATTATATCCAAAAATAAACTCTGAATTTAAATCGCTGTTCATCCCTAACAAAAAGATTTAGAAGTGGTATCTTTCGATGTTGATACAATCCAAAAACAGGAGGGCTCATGAAATCTGATTTCATTCTGTTTCTCTGCAGTAAAGTCTATCTGATGCAATCTAAAACAGCAAATTGCCTTAACTAACCAAATCGCTACAACCATATCTCCCCCACTGGTCCTGCAGCAATGGACCAAAGTATGGTACTATCTTCCGGCCTCTAGAGCCCTTCCTGATCCACCACGAAAGCCAGCACACAATACCTTGGACTAAAGTTAAACCAAGCTGGGTGGAGTTAACAATGTCATATCGATTAAAACCTGTCTTTTTTCTTCTCAACCCAATTGGCCATTTCCTATCTGTGACGTTTGTGACACCCATGGAATTGCAATCAGTTTACTATAGCAACAATAAGAATATCAGTTGTTCAATTTGAAGCGATTATTTGGTAATACATAAATTAAAATTCAGTAATATGGGATGTAAATTAATGAAAAGAATTGTGCCAATAAACCCTTTTGTTTATATAGATAACACATGTTTTGGGGTCATTTATTGTTCTAAAACAACAGAGTATATCTTCAAATAAAATGTGAAATGGAAAGAAGAATGAAAAAAATAAAATTGTGATTAATTTGTACGTTTGTGATCAGTTTACTAAGTTAACAATTTACAAACACTTTGAGACAATAATAAATTAGGATGTAATGTCATAGGTTACTATAAAAACATTACACAATGAAATCTGAATTTATAAAAATGACTAACTGCCATGGTCTGTTTTTCATTAAACCATGTGAGCTTGAGGGTACAATGGGTGTGCAGAAAACAGATTACTTTGATTCTCATTTAACAAACCCTTAACCCTTTTTGCAACCCTAATAATTTTCCAATATTAGTCCCACATTTCTTGATTTCTTATGCAATCTTCATTTTCCCTAGAAAGGTTCCTTTGTATATGACCAAGAAAAAGAGTAGGTATTTGATTGAGGAAAAAAGGGGAAAAGTGGGCAATTCATTATAAATGTAAAACAAATATCTCAACACACACTAAGGGGATCACTAACAATGTCCAGGTTAAACTAATCCAAAGAAGGGATTTGTTGCTCAAATGACTAATTCTAGAAATCAAACTGTTGATATATGACCTGATTCTCTTCAATCGGCTGGTTTATTGGGTATATTGGTTATTTGGTGAGTCATATCAAAGGAATAGATCTATGTGGACTAAATCAAGCAATTTCCCAGGACTAAATAAATAAAATGCTATTTTCAGTAGCAATTGATTGTATCTGTAGCAGCTGCACCATAACTCTGACCTACGCATGGAAATAATCAACGTCTAGTTCTGAAAGTCCCTCTTTTTGAACAAATGCCGTAACAGAGCCCCCCTTATAAATACATGATTACAGAAATGGCAGTGGACTAAAAATACTGATTTACATTCTTTACAATCATCGATGTCTACCAATGATCCAGATCAAAATTTTGTATTAAAAGGAGATATTCTCTTTGCAAAGTTCTAACAGTAAGCTGATCACTCCTTTTTGCAAGCCGAAAATACTATTTATTTGTAATTTCTTTTATTGAGGGGTATTTTTTTTTGGGGGGGGATACAGTTTCTATATTACATTAACAATATCACACTTATTACACATAGTACGAATGTAGGAGGACAGAATGCATTCAGATTAATTTCTGAATACCCCACAAGTTTGAAGGGTTAGATTTGTTATGTCTCATCAAAATCTGGGGTGTATCAATCATTTTATATTACATGAAAAAAATTATTTTACCCTCATTAACTCTTTGTTTGCTTTGTTCGCCGATTTGCACGGACGTAGGCGTGCCAACTTCGCATTTTTGCACAGATGTATACGAGTCAATTAGACATTCATAATACCGCTCGCAGTGTGTAGCCACGCGTTGCTTTTACTATTGTTTACATTGTATACATCGCACACTTTCCGGTAAACTGTTTTTCTTCATAGTGTTACATTCGAAATTACCGTGTATTTAGCGGTTTTCTTTGGATTTTTTTTACTGATGTTACGATGGCACCTGCTGGAAAACGTCAACGTGTGTTTAGTGTAGAGGAGGCTCGAGATCTTGTTACTATGGAAGCATGGAGCATGGACTCTGATTCCGACGAATCGAGCAGTGACGAAGACTCTAGTGATAAAAGTGTTCCCTGAGAGTAGACTGATAGAATAAGAATGAATAAAAATTAATGAAAGAGCTAGAGATGACAGCAAGAAAGAGAGTAGACTGATAGAATAAGAATGAATAAAAAAAAATGAAAGAAGGAGATAGAGATGACAGCAAGAAAGAGAGTAGACAGTGATAGAATAAGAATGAATAAAAATAATGAAAGAAAGAGATAGAGATGACAGCAAGAAAGAGAGTAGACTGATAGAATAAGAATGAATAAAAATTAATGAAAGAGCTAGAGATGACAGCAAGAAAGAGAGTAGACAGTGATAGAATAAGAATGAATAAAACTAATGAAAGAAAGATGTATCCTGTCTTGCCGTCATCTTTATATCTTTCTTTTATTATCTTTATTCATTCTTATGCTATCAGTGTTTACTCTCTTTCTTTCCGTCATCTCTATCTTATTATTATTATCATTTTCCTATCTATATGTACCCTATGTCTTGCCGTCATCTGTATATCTTTTTCTTATTATCTTTATTCATTATTATGCTATGAGTGTAATACTCTCTTTCTTGCCGTCATCTCTATCTCATTATTATTATCATTTTCCTATCTATATGTACCCTATGTCTTGCCGTCATCTCTATATCTTTCTCTTATTATCTTTATTCATTCTTATGCTATCAGTGTTTACTCTCTTTCTTTCCGTCATCTCTATCTTATTATTATTATCATTTTCCTATCTATAATTATGTACCCTATGTCTTGCCGTCATCTCTATATCTTTCTCTTATTATCTTTATTCATTCTTATGCTATCAGTGTTTACTCTCTTTCTTGCCGTCATCTCTATCTTATTATTATTATCATTTTCCTATCTATATGTACCCTATGTCTTGCCGTCATCTGTATATCTTTCTCTTATTATCTTTATTCATTCTTATGCTATCAGTGTTTACTCTCTTTCTTGCCGTCATCTCTATCTTATTATTATTATTATTTTCCTATCAATATGTATCCTATGTCTTGCCGTCATCTCTATATATTTCTCTTATTATCTTTATTCATTCTTGTGCTATCAGTGTTTACTCTCTTTCTTTCCGTCATCTCTATCTTTTTATTATTATCATTTTCCTATCTATATGTACCCTATGTCTTGCCGTCATCTCTATATCTTTCTCTTATTATCTTTATTCATTCTTATGCTATCAGTGTTTACTCTCTTTCTTTCCGTCATCTCTATCTTATTATTATTATCATTTTCCTATCTATATGTACCCTATGTCTTGCCGTCATCTCTATATCTTTCTCTTATTATCTTTATTCATTCTTATGCTATCAGTGTTTACTCTCTTTCTTTCCGTCATCTCTATCTCATTATTATTGTTATTTTCGTATCAATATGTATCCTGTCTTGCCGTCATCTTTATCTCTTTCTCTTATAATCTTTATTCACAGTAAAGTCCTTTCATTTCATATCACTATTTCTCTCTCATAATGTCTCTCACGTCCGTTCTCCATATTTTATTCATTGCATACTCCACTCGTCAATCATTTCTGATAATAAGCTCTCTCACAATAAAGTAAATGGAAAACAATGCAATATAGTTTATATTTTAAGATTGATTCATTCTTTCTTTGTATATCTATGGCTGTGATAAATGTACTTGAAATCAATTTTATTGAGGGGTAAAGAAGGTGAGAGAACAGATGCGGTGAACATTCATAATGAGACATTTCAATAAGATGCTGATTATGTCATGTATATCACATATAATATATTATGCCTATACCATTTTTACATGCTCATACCAGTGGGCAAAATCAATAACATTCTCTTATTTCTTATTGACTTATCATGGCACAACAAAGAAAAACATCCCCACGACGTCCCTTTTCATGCCCCGCTAAACCGGACATTGACAATAACCTGGGGTAATAGGGATTTCAATGGGCAGATTAGCCCATTGTCAAGGGTGGCTGAGCGGGGTACTTTCAAGTCTCTCCCTATTGAACTTCTTTTCTTCAACAACCTAAATACTAACCTTCTGAATTGTTAGAATACTTGAGCAAGGTATGTAAAGAAAGGTAAGAAGTCCACCTTTCTAATAGATTCGATTTGAAGATGTCTTATTATTGCTAAATAAGAAATTCTAGAGGGATAAAAAACTGCCGTAAATAAGAAAAATTAAACATTATATAATTATGATTATTATAAAAATGATAATTCAAAATATAACAAATGACGGTTCATCGAAAAGCACGTTTTCCGGTCTACAACTTTGCTGCACAATATTTTTCATCATGATCATCCAGTGAAGAGTTATAGCCTCTTGATTCAGCAGAGTCAATAAAGATTCCCTCGAAATGTGTGACCCTAAAAGAATGTGGCACAGGGGGGTTTTTTAAGTGGCGCATAAAGAGTTAAACAAAGTCCTTTTTTTTATAGTATAATCGATATCAATCAAAAACAAGAGAACATTTTTAGAGGCTCCCAATTGAAATTATTTTTTTTTTAAAGTTTTACCACCTCTTTAAGAAAGTTTTGAGTATATGAACTAGCTAATTTAAAAAAAAAATATTATGACTGGGATAGACAGTTAAGTATAAATATCCCAACATCAGTCCACAACACTTCTATGTAAAGTAGGTTTTTAAATAATTCAGAGAAAACATGTGACACTGCAGAAGACTTTTTTTTTTTCAATGATCTAACACGTGCATTATCTATTAGGCAATTGGCTAATTAAAATGAAGTAAACTAATACTTTCACGTCTGTCAGTCTGCTGGCATCCCTGATGACTAACAACCTTGGATTATCTAAAGCTTTCCCCTCTGGATTAACTTGAGGTACAGATGTAGAAATATCTGACTAGATTGTCTTGAACACTTCTTGTACAGGAGGGGTTCTCAGAACAGAAAAAAAGGCTTTGGACTGCGCCACGTGCTTATGGCGTGCTTTATATATTGTAATGTAGAGAATTAGTAAGTGAAAATAATGATGGAATTCATTCCTATGATTATGAATTCCATCATTATCTATATTGTGCTTTCTATGCCTGATATTGGTTTGTTTCAGTTGTGGTTTATTCTATCAAGAGCTTTTTTCAGCCACATCAGCTGTGTAATTGGTAGCAATGGTGTTACCCCCCTTATATCTAGATTTCCAAATAAATTCAATATTGCAGTTTCCAAACTTTTTGCACAGAATCGATAATCTCTGCTGAAAATGCTTGCCTAATTTGCCATCGAAGTAAACTTTCATGATCTTGAGATGACATATAAACTAATGGTGATAATAAAAAAAAGTTGCAAAATTCAAGTGAAATATAGAGTTATAAGTCAATGCAGCGTCAATGCAGCATCAATGCACAACCGGCAAACAAATTTTCTTCCCCAATGTCATTGTGCAAGATACTGATATACTCTATTACAGACCAAAATATCCCCAAACATTCCAAACCTACCATGGTATAGGTTGTGAATGAACATCGTAAATCCTACAACTATGACAAGACATACATTCACAACATGACAATGATGTATTCCATAGACAGCCAATAAGATACATCAGTGATAATACTAGCAAAAAACTATAACACACAGAGAAGAAGTATGACACATGTATATCTGGTACAGAATCTAGATAAAAATTATTGACATAAAAGATAAAACACATGAAGAGGCACTAGTAATGCTTTTGTCAATGTTAATGTTCTACCTTCACCATTATGAATTTGCCTTGGAAATTTATCCATTACATTTTCAAAAATGTTAACATTCTTTTTTCTTTGCAAATCAAGTCATCACAACAATGTTCTTGAGTTCAGGTAATGACAGAGAATATAGTATCATGGAATTAAATGAAACATTTTAAATAAATATTTAAAACTACAAATTAATTAAATCTTTCACACGATTTTTGGTATAAAATTGCCCATCAATGAGTAAAGATTGATAAGAAAATTTAATCATCCTGATCTATGTTCTGTACTTTTCAATAAACATGATTCCAGCAAGTTAAGTGTTGTATTTGTTGATTCAAACAACCAATCTGCTGCATGATCAATAATTCAGAATCAATTTGAGCCTGTATGATTCTTTCTGTCAAACGCAATGAATTAGTTGTATTACTAAATAAATGGAGATATGTGCAACTGTTGTAGCAATGTTTGTTTGCAGATATGTCACAAAATGTACTTTGTTCAAATCTATTGTTTTATTCTTGCTCAAGAATGATTGAATACAAATTTTTTTTGAAAAAAATTAAAAATGTTTCTTTCAGGATACAATTTCATTACCACAGCTCAAGATGATTTTGTAAGCGACAGCAATCTCAAGCAAATTGGCAAAAAATTCAAAGAATTTATTGGTGCTTCACTGACCTTGTCCATGTTGTGTACAGATTGTGATTCTTCTTCTCCAGGAACCCTTCCTTGATGACCGTCTGACACTGGGTGAGGGTCCCCCTGAAGTCTGCCTGGGTCAGCACCCGCCCCGTCGCCGTCGACTTGTTCTGCTCGACGATCAGATGGAGCAACCTGCAGATCTGTAGGAATTTGTCGATGAAATAATTAGAGGATGACATATTGAGATGAAGTATAGTTCAGTGGTTAGAGCGATGACAGTTGATGTAGGGTACCCAGATTCAAGATCAGGTCGATGTGCGAGTGCCCTTGGGTATTGAGGCATTCATCCTTGATACTTAATTCCTTCAGATAGGAATGAAAGTTGTAGATCTCCTAGAGTTCACTCGCAGGCATACAGACCCCCTTGGCACCAAGAAAAATTAAAACCACCAATCAAACTTAAAAACACTTCATAGGTTTATAAAGGCTAGTAGTTAAAACTGTGCTCATCACCCCACGTTATCCATTTCATAAATCACAAAGTCGATTGGCTATCCCTGTGGACCATATATGATGTGAAGACTGTCCTCACTAGCCAATGTCTGCATATAATTTCCTATAAGAATCATAAGGTGTAATCCTGGGAAGGGGTGCATACAGTCTGTACACTGGCTCTCCCTCCCTGAGGCATGCAGCCCCTCAAAGTCAAGCGACGATTTCTCCTTGATGATCCTATCCAACCAACCTCAACACTCATTCCTTTCAAGAGTGATTAACCATTACATCAACAGCGCTGCTGAAACCTGGCACGTTGAGAAGGGATTCCCTCCCAGACAAAGATAAGACTTAGTAAGCGCTTAAGATGGAGTTATGAGTAAGGTCTGCCATCAAGGCAACCATTTTTGTTCCCCTCTCCCACTCTTTTTTATTTAGATGCCTTGGAATGGGGTGCTTGGTGCAGTGAGAACTCCTCGATCTCCTAGTCATCCGTTGACTGGTTCAGCATATGCAGGTGTCTGGTGGAGTGCCCCTTACGGATGTCTACGCCCATACCCCTCAAATGTCAAAGGTTACTAACATACAGCGCCGCCTCCATGCACTCTTCTGTCATGTTAACATCTCTACCAGTTATCAACTAGAATGTCTTCATTGCCATGGCGATTGGAGAATGTGATGAGACTTTCAGTCAACCCTGGCCTGATGACAACTTCCAGGGACTGTCATCCAGGGGGAGCGGGCCGATGCAACCCCTTGCTGAAACTTGAGGCACTGCACTTCGAGGAGACCAGGAGAGAACCTCCTAACCAACCAATGATCGAAAGAACCTCAATAGAATACATCAACACGCTGCGTATGACGCATTACATAAACTCATGCTCCGACCCCATTGTTTACGAAGGTGGCTCCATTTGAGATGGTGTTCTCATCGGGTTTATGGATGCGTTCCCAAACTCTTTTGAACCTTTCACACTCTTCCTTGGTGTTGACTCACAATAAAAGACAACATCATCACTCCACAAGGTGTCTCCCCTTGCTCTCAGGTTGATACAATCTCAAGCTCTCTTGGTAATTGAAATGTAGAAGAGGTATAGTGCAAGACATATGCAACTTAAAGGTTGGTTCCTATCACTTGATGAATCGTGGATGCATCTCCGTCATGTAACAGACCACAAATGAAAGATGCCAGAAATTACTCCACAGTGCACATCCACTGGGAATATCTCATGAAGATTTGATAAAGAGGGGTACGTAGACCTTGTTTTCTCTGATGAACCAAAGAAGTCTTTCCTAAACTCCTGTTTAATACATGATGAATCTCCACATATTTCTCTGACCCACTTTGATGAAATATCATTAAATCACAGTCACATTAAGTCACAGGATAAACTTCTACTGCCTTTTTAAAGGCTACAGACACATATCTTGCCAATACACAAGTTTGACAAAGGAAGAGGCACTTCAAGTCTGCACTTTTATCCGATGAAGGTCCATGAAATACCTCATCACGTTTGGATACAAAGATAAGGCCATGAATCCACTCTCCACACCTCTTCGACCCACTTCATCACGCACAGGTCAGCACGAGACCATTCACAGAGAGGATGCAAATAGACCACTTGTACCGAGACATTGGGTAAACACGGGTGCAAATCATAGCAGGAAATTCTCCCGCTCCCTAGATAGTAGATACCATCATCGATGTTCCTACCGTCGTTCTTTTTCGTTGGGCCGAGCTTTCCATCACCACCGGCTGATTAGGGCACACAGGGAAAAGGAAGCAGGCAAAATGCTTGCCCGGATTACTTGGGTCATGTTAGTGCAGTGTCGTCGGCGGCGGCGGCCGGCAGAGTTGCATCTTGGGACGTCATGATGATTGCTGAATACTACATTCCCCCCCCCCCCCCATTCAGACGACCAAAATTCATTGTGTGGCTATACAAGCTGTATAGCATTTTGATTAATAATAAATTTTTCCCAGTTTGGATAATAATAATTATTACAATAATCTTTAGGAGCATTAAAAACTTTAAAAATACCATTACGCTTACAAAATTATAGAATGTGAAGAGAAATAAAATACAAATTTTCATAGAATAGGTAAACCACATTACGTTACTGAAGAAGTATGTTTTAAAGTTGAACTTCAAAGAAAATCACAAATATGTCAACTAATGTATGACTAGAAACTGGTAAGCTAACAGATGGCCATCGTACAAGTTTTAGGTCAACTACATATCGGGTGATTTATAAAAATACAAATACAACCACCGGCATAGCAGCTGGGATATACGAGAGATTCGCCGGAAAAATAAAGATGTTTTAATGACGTCACTATATGGACCAATACTGCCCAAGCAGACGACATCCCATAGAGAATGAACATAATTGCAAAGCTTTTATTTGTCAAATTATAATGAGTTTAGTGTATATAAATGTGATGGCATGTCAAACCATTCAAAAGGGGATATGACCCGATTCCGATAACTAAAATCTTTTGCTTGTAAATACACAGGATAGGGGTTAATTAACAGTCAAAGAAACCAGACTTTCGAATTGAAAACCCCCGGAACGATGTTGAGGACGGCATTTGTTCCCTCTTGAAACGCCGAACATACCGCGGTGTGTCCAGCTGAATATTCAATGGCGTCTTATTTGTTTACAAGCGACAAATTCCTTTATTTTTGTATCGCTGCATTTGTCATCAAAATAAAACCATGTGCGGGGTTAAGAGTGAGGCAATAGATTATACATTTAGCCTGACGGTAGTGGAGTAAGAGAAAGAACTAAAGAAAAGATGAAAACACAGGCACTGAAAATGTGTGAGATGTCATGGGACATCGTCTGCTTGTGCAAGTCATGTCCATACTGTGATCTCACGCATCTCAGCAGCGTTCGGGGAGCTCTTCAGGTGCTATGACGGGGCTGTATTTAAGCGTTTTATAATTTATAATAATCATTATTTCGAATGTTTCCAACCATTGAATTTTGATAACCTTGTCGAATCAACGTTTCAACTTTGCAATAATGAAATTAAGTTAGTTTTTAAAATCAATAAACATCAACTTTAAGGAATATTTTGAAAGAGGCAAGACACGATTAATTCTCTGATGGAAAGTGGGATATTGTTCCATGTTTTCAAGACAGCCGCTGAAAGATGTTGAATGTTGTATAATGAATCATCGTATAGGTCATGTTGGAGCACTGTTTCAAACTCGATAAAGAATCAGGATCCCATTCCAATCTGAAGGTCATATCACACAAGAAACGTAGAACTTGGCGGGCTTCTTGTGTGCGCACTGATGAAAGGCCTCTTCAAAACTGGTTCTATTTACAACGTTTCTTTATAATATGTGGTTTTCATGTGTGAATGCCCCTTTTACTATAAGATCATTCTTAAAACAATGTTTCTTTATACACGTTCCGTATAATTATCCTATAGTGTGAACAGGCTATTAGACATGGTAGTCACAACTGTGATGTTGCTAATTCTTGTTAGGTGGTGCAAGCTTCCTTGATAGGCTAGGCTGTGTCCTATTCGTTAAGAGGTTGGGACAATCAGCCTCGTGATGATAATTCAACTAGAAAGCTTACATGCTCTCAACGAGCAAGGTATGCATGTATGTTCGCTGCTGATAAGGTGAAAGACATTTTCATTTTCATTCCTAATATCTGCAAAGAATCCATATCTTTATAAGCAACTAATGTAAGAGCCTAGTCATACCATTCACATCATCCCTAAAACCTGAGCTAATGATTTTCAAAATCAACTATGAGAAAGAGTGCTTCCTGTTTCACTCTTTCATGACCCCTAAATTTCCAAAAACATTATACATTTTTCTGCACATTGCATTGGTACATATTACATTTGGTTGAAATTTGTTTATTTGGACATTTGGGGGTTCAAACATTCAAACATATATATCTACTTGTTCTCTTTGTTCTTTTTTTTTTTTTTTTTTTTTTTTGGGGGGGGGGGGGGGGGGGGGGGTCGGTCGGTATAGCCTTCCCCTCTCATGAGGAAGCTGGCTAAATGTATAAGATAGGGTAAGCACACTTACCTTCTCTTTTTCCTCTAACGTGTCAGCTTCCAACTCATATTCATGATGATCCTTGAAGTAGATGAAAAATCTTAGCCCCTCCTGAAAAACAAATAAAAATAAACAGTTCCATTAAAACATGATGTAACAACCATAATTTCCTTCCACATAAAACTGTTTAGATTAAAAAATTTAAAAGGAATCTATTAAGATATGACTAAAAATGAAGAAAATTATACAGCACATGATCATTAGAAATAGTCTAAGTTCAAATGATTACATTTTAAAAATACGTATGTTAAGATGTAATGGGTCATAATTTCTTTGCTTATATAAAAAATTATCATTCTGCAAGGGAATATAGCAAATGAGCAAAACAAAGCATTTCAAAGTATTGAAAGTCGTCATTTTGATGCATTATTGAGCCATTACTATGCTACTCAGTATTAAATAATCATTTTCTAAAAATAAAATAATTGCATTTAACAAAATTGTTGTGGCGGGTGGGGGGGCATATGATCCAAGGCTCCCCCTGGCTACTGCAGTGAGAAAATGAGATGGTGGTGTCAAATTGTGTTCATGAGCTAAACACAAAAACATTTCTATGACAACTACAATCTACAATTTTACATAATCTATATTGAGAAAGACTCAATCTTTACAACTCTATTTCAGAATACAATAAAATATAAACGAAATACAAGATCTACATCCCATCATAAAATATAACAATCTGTTTCTTGACCTGAGACTAAGGTTAACCATCCTATGTCACTAACATTACTCACTTAGCAACAGGTGTAGACATTGGCTCTCATATTACATCGCCCCTAGAGAGAAAGCTGTGTCACTTTATCCCACAAAATTATTACCCCCTCTCAGAATATTATGTACGTGACCTTTTCAAACTCGCTTAACTTCAAGTTCATTGTTATTTGGATATTGATACATGGATGGTTGTCTATCAAAGCTTAAAGAGACATGCGAGGTTAATAAGTATGATATATATTTCTTTAAAATAAAAATATACGGTAGGTCATCTGGCTTACAAATGATATTTTCTACAGCAGTGTTAGACACATCTGGGAATTACAATTCCAGTAATTAAATTTTAAATATTCTAGAACAAATTATACAAAAAAGAAATTAATCGGTATTACAGAGCTGAGACTAGAAAAAATATCTCTATAATATGAAAGACTACATAAAAATGTTAATGCATACAACATATTTAAAATTATGACATTTTTGTCAGAAATGAAGTCAACTGAACACCACAAGAGTAGAATAAGACAGTAATTTCAGCCTTTAAATGATTTGAAATCATCAAACCATTTGCAGGCAAGGGTATGTCTTCCCCTACCAGTATCAAGATTGAAACGTCAGTAAGCTGTATCATTACAACCTTTAAGTCTTGAGGCTTACTATCATGGCAATATCATTTTAATAAATGTTATCTTGAATACAAAAATGTTAGACAGTTCAAGCTGCTTTGTTTTTATTAACTACTTAGCAAATTAATACTCAGAATTGTATTTTTTGTTGTTGAAAAAATGATACCACATCAATGGGATAGGACCACATGGAAGACCAATGCTATAGGTGAAAATGTATTATAATGCATGAAAAAACAAATAAATAACAATAAACTAACAACAAATAAATGAAGAAAAAAATAGAATAAGAAATAAATGATTAAATAAATAGAAAAATGAATAGATGAATACATTAATTGATAGATAATTTTTTTTAACTAATAAAAATAGAATAATGTTTTGTAGGAAAAGTTGCTTCTAAAGAAAAAAATACAGTGTGAATGATATAATCACACTGCAGCCAGATTCCTGATCTTGAAATCTAGAAAATACTGAAACTAAAACGTCAAGTTGTGCGTACACTATCTTAATGCATCATCTCTGGTGTGGCTTCAATATGAAACATCAAAGGATATTTATAGACTTAACAGCTGCAAATCATTGAGCTTGAATTTGAAATCATCACATCACTAGGCAACTGACACTTTGTGAACACTAGATGGGGCTACAACATTACAAGTGTCAGTGTCATTGATTAGGAGAGTTTGGCCAACCAAGCAGTAGTCGCCATATTGTGACCAACTCGAACCGGGTTTGCCAAACTCTGTGTACAGATTGCTCTGACAAGTGTCTTGTGAAATGACGTATTTATTCTGTTGCCTTCAAATAAATACAATCGGTCTTAAAAATAAAAGAAATAGTTGTCATGATGATTACCGTTAAGAACTAGTCATTTGTGGAAAATATGTCCAAAGCCAAGTTAAATTAAAAATCAAACAAAAGAGTGACATTTTCTAAAATACTGGAAGTGCTCTGTAATTCTGAATTGCCATAAGTAATGATCATGACAATTAATCTATAATGTTTCAATATAATGTCTAATCTTCTTCTTTTTCTTCTTCTTCGTTTCGTATTATATTGGCTATTTTTTTCTTTTTTCCAATGTTAATAACGAGATGGAGTGTCCCTGAAGAAGAAAACAAAAATAAGATACCTATTTTTTTTCCTTCTTAAATAAAAAATTACACAAATACTGATGAAACAAAAGAATGATACAAGGCCTTTTTTCATCAAATGAAACAAAAGTCAACCCCCCCCCCCCCCCTTCCCTCGTCAGGAGAGCTCACACAATCACACATCTCATGGAGCTATACATATGTGACAGACATCTTTAAAATGACTGTACTTGTGACGATCACAGTTCTGAGAGTGAGCCATCTGTTGACATCACAATATCCAGCTTCTAATTTGATCAAGCAATATCAATGACATATCATACTTGGAAGGAAAGACTTTTTTTCTTCTTCTCAACTTGTGCAGTAGGATTTGTCTTATCCTTTATTTGATTTGCCACTTTATTTTTTGGGGGAGTGGAAGTATTTTTGTATCAATTCAGTCAGGTGTAGAGACCAAACGAAAAACAGGGGTGAGTAAAAATTTCACCTCCCATGTTAAAAAAGGGGGGGGGGGGGCACTTGGACTAATAACACCTTTTGAAAACTCTACACAAAAAGTGATTTGTATATCCCTGAAGAAATTTTATTTTCTATACATATTTCAAAGACACCCCTAATAAAAAAAACAGAAAAAATAACTTCTCAGAAGTAGTCACGTACTGTGAGAACATGTGCAACAGATGTGATGCTTGAAGTTAATAACTGATTCAACTATTTAACCTCGAGATACAACTGTTTCTCCCTGTGCTTCATTCCTACTTTCATCTCTCGCTCGCTCTGCAGGGCTTTAACTTTAATCCTAACAACCAGTGGTATGACGTCTAATTTTGCAGGGTGTTTGTGGTATTAATTGAGATCATGATGGCAATTGCTATCTCATGTCACATGATGATTTGAAGCTGGGATGTAGAGAGAGAGAGAGAGAGAGAGAGAGAGAGAGAGAGAGAGAGAGAGAGAGAGCCTTGGAATAGAACTTGTGATATTTGATTCAAACTACTGTGAAAAGGTTATTGCATGTTGGGGATTTTTCGTTCATGGTGAATAAAATGTGTCATCTTATCCAGAAATTTTTCTATATATCTTCCCTTCCCCCCCCCCTTTCTGGTTCTTTTTTTTGTTGAGGGGGGGGGGGGGGGTGTTACATATTCTTTGTTACTTTTTTCTTATTTTTTGAAGTCTTTGTCATTAATGTATGTTATTTTTCTTTTTCTCTCCTTTCTATTGGCTTTGTTTTGATTTTTAATTAATCTTTTTATAAATAATAAATTACAATGTCCTCATAGTCTACTCTCAATCTTAGTCTTACATCTTACAATCATTGACCTATCAAATACTCAGCGGAGAGATAATTTGGGAATTAAGATCATGGAGGGCAATGTACTATGAAGGAAAATATACTCATCTCCAATTGTTTAAGCTAAATAGTACCTACATGTTGTCATAATTGTCATAGCTACATGACACTGTCTGTTCTCTATTTAGTTGATAAAGTTGTATCGGTACATTTGTCACTAGAATATCTTTATACTAAGAGGGAAGACAGCCTTTTTAAAACTTTGAAAATAAATTTAAAACGTCCTGATGAATTCAGATTCAGAGAACCTGGAAAATGATTCAAAAGTTGAGCTTATTTTTGCAGAATCTTCCTGTAAGTGGGCCAAACCTGTTCTATATATCTGCTTACTCATCTAGTCTTATATAGGTTTGGTCTACATAGGAGATCCAGTCATTCAAAATACAGACACAAAAATTATATGAGGACATATACCAATCTCGAAGGGTCTGTTCTACAAAAGAGATTAGATCCAGTCATTCAAAATACAGACAGAAAATTACAACTATTAATGGCCTATTTTAGAGGATTTAGAAAGATGGGTCATTATCAGCATTGAGAGTGTCTGGTTTTGTTTTACTTCAACAAGACAACAGGATGGTTAATCACCATCAGTTTAAAACATGTGTAATTGTGTATTGAGCATCCAAATAATCAAGCTAATATATCTCATAAAGGAATGATATCAAGATTTTTATCCATTTATTCTTGGTTAGGCATTTTTTTAAATTTATCTATCCAGTAATGGTATCTGGTAGAATATGAAAAATTCGTAAAAAATCAGTTTCTTTTCACTGAATGGACTATATTTGTCTGCCTCTTAATCAGAATGAAAAAGCACAAATTTTTTCAATAGAAAGTAGCAAAACACAAAAATCTACAAATCTATGAATTCACCAGGTACATCTACTAGAGATTGATATCGGTAATGAATATGGTATTATTGCTATGCATGCAGGTAACTGGATCTAGGAACTGGGGCTTAATCTAGAACAGGGGTTGCATTTTGGCATGACCTGTTCGGCTAAAAGACATTACATCCTGGACTTCCTGTCTGGAAAGCCAGAGGTATTAGCTAGGGTATGGAGGTCACCTAATGGCCGGAAGAAAGGGGTTAATTAGCCCTGGAAGGGGGTAGCAGAACCCCCCTGTCTACCGGTCCTACATTCCTTCGATGGGGAGGAGGGGAAGGAGGGAGGGGAGGAGGGAGGGGAGGGGAGGGGAGGGGGAGGGGGAGGGGAGGGGGAGGGGGAGGAGGGAGGGAGAGGGTGGTCACCAAGAGCCTTTAAAGATAATGGGGAGGGGGAGGAGGGAGGGGGAGGGGAGGAGGAAGGGGAGGAGGGAGGGGAGGAGGGAGGGGGAGGAGTAAGGGGAGGAGGAGTGAGGGGAGGAGGAGGGGGAGGGGAGGGGAGGGGGGGAGGGGGAGGGGGAGGGAGGAGGGAGGGGGAGGAGGGAGGGGAGGAGGGGGAGGGGAGGGAGGAGGGGGGAGGGGGGGGGGGAAGGGGGAAGGGAGGGAGAGGAAGGGGAGGAGGGAGGAGGGAGGGGAGGAGGGGGAGGGGGGGGGAAGGGGAGGGAGAGGGGGAGGGGGAGGGGAGAGGAGGGAGGGGGAGGAGGGAGGGGAGGAGTGAGGGGGAGGGGAGAGGGGGGGAGGAGTGAGGGGGAGGAGGGAGGGGGAGGGGAGGGGGGAGGGGAGGGGGAGGGGAGGGATGGGTAGGGGGGGGAGGGGAGGAGGAAGGGGAGGAGGGGGGGAGGGAGGGGGAGGGGGAGGGAGAGGAGGGAGGGGGAGGAGGGAGGGGAGGGGGTCACCAAGAGCCTTTAAAGGTAATGTAGGGTGTTGATTGAAGCCTTTGAAGGTAAAATATTTGATTTCCTTCAAGTTGTAGACAGGAAATTACAGTGGAACAGATGAATGAAAGTTTTGAGAAAATTGGATAATGAATAATAAAGTTATGAATTTTTTATTGAACAGGAGCATTAATGATGAAATAAATATTCCACTGGACATCCTTTATATAAAAACTACTCAAAATAGATTTCTTCTCAATAGCTTCATATTTCTTATAATTGTTGTGGTATCATTTACTAAGAGTAAAAAAAATACAGCACTTTACAAAAAGTCTCATTGTAACACCCTCCTGGCTCTAAACAGATCAGAGTCAAAAGGGCTCTCATCTTTTGTGATAAGCCCCTTTCTCCTAGTGGATAATATCAAATGAAATTTTTAAACGAAATATGTTTTTTATCTTTATAATTTGATCAAATATAAGAGATCCTTTTATACACGCCATATCTTGAATATCAAGTTAACAGCACTGTCCACTGATTCCATTTTATATGGGCAATTTTTTTGAAACTATTCTTACTTCAATGTTGCAGCAAATGTGACTAGCGAACATTACATGAAAGAGCATGGTGGTCTTTACAATATTCATTCTCAAAGATTTGACATAATGAGGGAAATCACCTGGGAGGGGATATATTGAATCTCCACATAACATGTAGTACAGTGGACTTGATTGGATCATTATACACATGCCTAATCCTCTTGTTTCTATAATTATTTGCCACAATATCCTACGGATGTCTCCCCATCAAATTTTACAGATTTTCCCAACGTGGAAGAATGGATCGATATTAAATTCTAAAGCCAAAATTCTGTTGAGTTTTTTCCGGGCAAATCCTGGTCAAATATTGCAGTTGCATTGTAATTTAACATTTTGATTGAAATTTTGTAACAATATTATGCAGAGTTTTAGATGTAAATTGAATAAAACTCATGATTTTTCTATGGTTATAATTTAGTTTTCTGAAAACCCAACCATCCACCCCCCCCCCCCTAAAATAGTTTTTTTTTTAATCTGACAGAGAGAGAGAGAGAGAGAGAGAGAGAGCTAGGGGGATTCTTTAAAAGTAAACAAGCCCCCCTATTTCAGATAAGCCACAAAATTTCAACAATCAATATTAAACAGTGCTCTTCCCCCTCCACTCTGCCTCTACAAATCGAGGGCCTCCCTCCCCCTCCCCATTGTATTTCTATTTCTGCCATGTCACTGAGCAGCCGATACTGGATAGCTCCCGATGAGTGATTCCACTGTGCTCCTCTCTACTCTGATATGAAGTCATCCTAATTGTATTTGCAGACATCTTCTTCTTCCTCTATCTATCTTCCCCAGTTTGTCAAAACTAAAAATACACAGGATGCATCACAGGAATTGGCAAGAAACAAACTCTCTTTATCAGATTCTGGGTAGTGTTTCACAAAGACTAAGATCGACTTTAAGTTGGACATAACTATGGCAGGCCGTTCATGCAACTGTTTGCTCTCACCAATTACTGGCATTGGTCTCTCAAGGGAGGTACAAATCATGGTCACAAATCTACAGAATTTACATTTTTTGATAGTTCATTATTGAAGGAAAAATATTATCTAAAGATCATAATTGAGAGATCAATGGTGAGAGCAACCAGTGGCATTTCCAACTTAAAGTCGACCTTAGTCTTTGTGAAACACCCCCCTGATCTGTTTTTTACAGTCACCCATTCTGTAATACGATTGATATAAAAATTATTCTTTACTTTGCATGAGTGATTTTGTGACATGTGTTTTCTTCATAAGATATGAACTGACTAACACTCAAGTCATGAGAAATATACAATATTATTAACAGAGGGTACCAGACACCTAAATTGATACATATGGCAAACATATTACATGTTTTCTTTTGCAAAAGTGGGAGTATCAAATTAAGTTTTTGCCGTCTAATGAGATGGACTGCAAAAAGTAAAGATTAAATATCATCTTCTCATCAGAAACAATGCAGAGTACACTATAGCCAATATGAGCAGTCGTCTATGATTGAAGTGGTCTCTTTCTCTTATGCTCGCTCTCTCTCTCTCTCTCTCGCTTTAACAAGAAGCAATAAGCATAGTTTGTTCTTACCTCACTTTCATAGTCTGTTACTGTGGCAAAGGTAAACTTTCTATTCAGGTTTCCTTTCTGAATGTTACACAGCTGGCATGCTTGGAAGTCAATCTGAAGAAAGAAAAGAAAAGAAAAAGATACAAATAAGTATTGAGCTTTGAATGTTTCTTGATAATATTTTACTCTTCTAAAAAAAAAAAAAAAATGAATTCAATTCTATTAACTTTTATATTCTGACAAGATAATGGAATAATATCATTGGGAGTCAAATTAGAAAGTGTTTTGATGAAAGATAATGATCCTTCAAAAAGAGTGCTTGTGTTGAGAATGTCTGTATAAATTGCAATATAAAACATTTATTGAGAGAGGGGAGACAGGGATAGAAAAGAGAGAGAGAGAGACAGAGACAGAGACAGAGAGAGAAAGAGATTTGTTTTGGAGAGTGATCGCTGGTATGATTATGATCACCTCGCAAAATGAAAGTAAAAGAAAAGACCAAGAGGGGGATCTTGAGAGAGAGAAAGAGAGAGAGAGGAGGGGGGGGGGGGGGAGGGAGGGGAGGGGGAGGGGGGGAGAGGGGAGGGGGAGGGGGAGAGAGAGATAGGTAGAGAAAGAGAGAGAGAGGGGGGGAGGGAGAGAGAGAGAGAGATCAAGTTAGAAGGATGAAAAATACTGGTTTATCTACAGAGCAAGCACCATGCTTCCATGGCCACAGTGTCAATGAGATGCACCAATGGGCTTTCATCTGTGGATTCAAATCCAAAAGCACTCACATGATAAAATTAAATTATACCTAAATTTCCAGTATGCATGATTCAGTTATATCTCCTCCAAATTTACAAAAGACAAATTCATCAGCTATAAAGCTCTTCAATGCCAAAATACCCATTTTAACCCAATAAAGCAATTATTTTGGCAATAGGGCATAAATGCATCGCGGAAATGGTGATGATGCTTTATTTAGCATTGAAGCAGACAGACTTGGCATGACCATCCATAATTTGCTTATAAAAGGTCAAACTCGTACAGGCAGGTACTAGCATTCATATCCTTGTGAAAAAATTATATTTTGACTATTAATAGATTTTGTATAATAACAATGAGACAGTTGGCAAATAGGAGTAAACATAGGTCACTTGGTAGATGAGTCTATGCATTTTGTTACTCAAATATTGCAATAAAATGATTTTGCTTAAAAACTTTCATATATGTTTTTTGTTTTTCAAATACTTTATTAGAGCTTTATGGATGACTTGATCATTATCATTTCCGTTACATAATCTTTAAAAATATTCTGGCAATATTTTAGAAGGTTTCCAAGACAAACATAGTCAGTCTAGTAGCCATTCTTGCCTACTAAATTTTACACTTTACTAGACATCATTTTGGCACAAAAACATATAATTGTGATCCTCTTAACAGGCCAAAGATATGAATCATGGGACCTACATATCATGAGTAGGCATCAAGGGCCTTCATTTTTCAGAAGGTTTCCTAGACCAACATGGTCAGACTTGTAGCTATTCTCACTTTCTTAGATATCATCTTGATCACCAAATGAAAACAGATAATTGTAATTCTCTAAGCAGGCCAAAGATATGAATGATAGGACCTACATGTTGGTTTCATGGGTTGCCGATGTCATGGCTTTCTGGCAACTTTTCATCAGGTTTGCTAGACCAACATGGTTAGACTAGTAGCCATTCTCACTTACTAAGTTTTACACTATCTTATATAGACATCATCTTGGGCACAAGAACAGATAATTGTGATCCTCGAAACAGGCCAAAGATATGAAAGATGGAATTAATTGTATCTTGAAAAGTCAGTCAAAGGTAGATGACTTCATGCGTAAGCCTAATCCTTTACAAACAGGACTCCAGACTTGTATACCACAGGGCAGGTACTGATTAAATGTGTTTCATCAATACTAACTCCCCCCCCCTCCCCCCCCCCCCCCCCCCCCCCCTTCCCGATGCCCCATTAAAACAAATCTTTGTTGCGAGCCAGACAATGACAACAATGATTCATATTGAAGTCTATCCTCTAATTAACTGTTCACTAAAATAATAGTGAAATTTGAAATACTGCCTCAGGTCAAAGACCTGAAATCTTTACAGAATAAAAATTAAATCATGATATCATTTCACTGACCGACCTTAAGAAAAGCTTTAGAACCTTCTATTTCTTTTAAAGCCCATCTGTACTAGTTTACAGGAGGGATTAGACTACCCTGCAAGGTCACTGAAAGGTGGTTATCTCATCAACTCAGCTCTCAATTTACATAAGAAAAAGAGGATCATGGGGGACCAACAGGCACCAATTTGGGAAGTTTTCTAATAGAGGGAGCAAGTAGCTACGAGTAGTACAGTGTGGCTTTAAAGGCAGAGTCATGTGTTCATGTTTTGAACGGTTTCTGTGGAAAACATGTGAGGAGGTTGCGTGACAATATTCAATCACAATTTCTTTAAATGGAAATACACAGCGCATCATAATGACATTGAGACTATAAGATTCCATGAAAATCATGACTCATGCTTAGTGGTAAATGCCCCAAAGAGAAAGGAAAAACGGAAAACATTAAAGTTGAGTCAACTCTTTGGCCATCAATGTATGAAGTTTTTATACGTTCAGCAGTGTAATGTATGACGGAGCAGTAGAAAGTTCACTTTTAAAGTAGAGCAATGCATGGTTAGAAAATAGATAATTTTAAAAGTCATAAAATTGAAAGGAGAGATATCCTTATAGTCACTGCATGGTTTAGATTGTAATTTTGTTTTCCCCTTGAGATGGGTATTAACCCTTACTACAGGGGTTCAAAATAGACACCATGAATCAACTATTTTGACAAGCTTTTAGAAATAAAGGCAAAATGTGACTTTCATGGGATTAATAATGGATATGATTTATAGGCCCTGTTAGATAATTTATGATGGAAGATCACCTCTTCATCAGCAAAATACATGTACAGAGTAAACCTGTTCAGTATCAAAGATTTCAATAGTTCTTACTATCAAAGTTGACTTAAACAAGTTTCGTCTGTCATTACTGGACAATTAATTCCGCATGGTGTTTTTAATTGTTTTGTTTTAATATAATAGTATTAAAATGTTATTTTTAAAATCTTTAATAGTAACATTTACACTTAAACATTCATATTATTACACCTCATAATTCCCTATATCCTGAAAATTTGAGAAAACTCATTATTCCTTATCTTACAAAATCAACAAAGTTCTTGTAAATCGTTTACTTTTCTTTTTAAATTCACGTCTTAAGAGATTCATATCTTCCAAAATCTAATGAGGATAATTTTAGTTTTACAATCTTTCCCAAATATTGTACAATCCTCTCTTTTAAGGTAGTAGCACAAGAGGTGTTGACTCACAGTAAAAACTTGTGACTCTCTAAGAAGTGTGCTCTCATACATGTAGGAATATTGTGCTCTATTTTTTTTTCTTGGTAATGTTGCTGTTATCAGTTCCTAGAACTGATTTGCCTTTGGTAATTTTTTTTATTTTGAACAGTGCATAAAAGTCAATGAACACACTCCCCTGTATCCCTTGTAAACCTTCAACAATATCTTAGTGACTAAATGTCTATCCATGAAGGAAACATAAAATGTCTGACAATAATCAAATTACCTGTATGCTCTACTCCCCTCTCTTTGTCTCTCTGTATTTCTCTCTCTCCTTCTATTGCCCCCCCCCTCTCTCTCTCTCTCTCTCCCTCTATCATCCCCTCTCTCTTCCTTTATCACTACTTCTCTATATTGCTCTCTCTTCCCCTCCATCCCTTTTTCTTTCCCCCCCCCCCTCCATCTATCCTTCCCCCTGCTCTCTCTCTTTCCCTCAATTTCTCTCTCTCTCTCTCTCCCTCTATCTCACTCCTTCTCTCTCACGCACACACACACTCATATTCTCTCTCTCTCCCTCCCTTTTTGCTCTGTCTCTGAATCTCTCTCTGTCTCTCTGTCTCTCTCTCCGTCTCTCTCTCCCTCACTGCCACTCTCTCTCTCTCCCACCCTCCCTCTCTCCCTCTCTCTCTCCCTCGCTCAGCAAGGTGCTAAGGGACCCCTTCTCCTCTTATCCTTGCCAGAATCTACCTTCTAACCCCATCGCATTTCCCCCCCTCTCTCTGCCGCAGTGTCCGGGCATTCTATGTGAGTTTAAGTCTTCCTTCCTCTTTCTTTACCAACTTCCTCACCAATGGGCAACCTCCCCTAGTTTTACTAACCATATTCTCTCCCTTTCTTCTCCGTTCTTCTATTCTAAGGTCCAAAATATTATGTTTTATTAACCCTTTGTTGTTGTTAGATTTTATGGTTTTTCCATTGTCATTGGATGATTTTCAGGACAAAGTTTATTAGTATAGAGCTAAAATGATCACACCTTGTTCTTCAAATTGGCAACAATAACTATTGCTACATTGTTAAGATAAAATCTAATGGCCCTAATTCACAAAGGAGGTTTACATTTAACCCATGGTTTAAACCTTCACTTACATAACCCATGGTTTCAGAATTAGCGCAAAATAAGCATACCTTGCCTTGCGCACGTCAAATACTGGACCTCTTGATTGTGGTGCGCTTATTTTGCGCTCATTTTAAACCATGGGTTATGTAAATGAAGGTTTAAACCATGGGTTAAATGTAAATCTCCTTTGTGAATTCGGGCCAATGTCTCTGAAAACATTATACATAGGGGAGAATGTTGTCAAGAAGATGGACAAAATTACCGATGATTTTGAATCTCTCAAGGTGTATTGCCAATTTAAGGATTTTAGAGCTTATTTTCCTTAACAAAATTCCTGGGATCAAATGCAATATAGTCATAAACAAAAAATGAGTGCACTATGTACAACAACAAAATTGCTCTTTCTCGTCATGCCAGGATCTGGCATATTTTGTAGGGGTTTGAATCAAAAGTTATTGAGCCAAACCACACAATGTGGAATGATTGTCACAAAAGGGTTTAAATACCTATCATTCCCTTACATTGAACATTCATTCACAATTAAACATGAATATAAATTAAAGCCTTTCTCCTCTTTTATATATATGCTAATTGCTTTAAAAGGTTCATTTACTCGTTTCCACATTTCAAGAAATTATCAATGACGTCATAATGTCAATTGCGATTATACATTAGAGCAGAATGTAATTTTTTCAAAGGAAATATCTAATCAAGTGTGGTCTCATTAAACCCTTCCCCCCTTTTCCAGTGATCAACATAATACCAATACAACACTATCACAGTCTGTACAGATAGCATCAAGCACCATATGTTACTACACTGTTGCCTATAAAGTTGGAAAGATGATTTTTTCTTCCCTCTTTTCATGAAAAGATTACGATTATATGGCTTATTCTCCGTGTTTATGAAGTTAACATTTTCTATGAACTGCATTGATCCACACGACTCTCTTTAGGTTGATCTGTAAAGTTCAGAGAAGATATAAACTTTATCTTTCAATAATAAATCATATTTCACAGTAACTTCATGAAAAGAGATAAACAAAAATATTTTCCAAACTTAAGGGCAATTACAGCATACTATCAATTCTGCAATTCGTACTACATTCCTGATTAAAATCAACCTGCTAAATAACTTTAGATATGTAATAGTTAAAGCAGATGCCATAGTCATTTGGAAAATTTACTAAATGAAATTAAACATATTTCTTAACCTTGATACATAACCAATATCTAAATAAACATTAGACATTACATAAAATGTAATTACTAACTTAATGATCATTTTCTATGTCTGCGGATTTATAACAAATATTGTTATCTCAATTGTAGTATCAATGAATAGTTGGGTTTTTTCTTCAATTTTGGTAATATATGGAGTCATTTCGCAAATTATTTAACTGTTTTTTTCTTCATACACAATAAAGCAGCAATTGTTGATCTTCAAGCACTTAGTTCTAAATATGTTGATGTTTAGATATATCTTGATATATATCCAAGCTATATATATTTTACAAGAAAATCATAACCACATGCTAACTCTGATGTTCCGTTCAGATCACAATAAAGATGGCCTGGTCCTAGAGGCAGATCCCTATAGGGTCTTCCTTTGTCGAGCAAGGTTCATGCTCGTCCCCGTGAACTCTCAGTTTTCAGGCTCAATCCCGAGGTCTCATATCCCCTTTCCCTCATCTTAAGACCTCTCCTTAAAGCCCTTATCTCACGCACCCTTGCTCAAGGTATCGATGTGCTCTCTTAATTTCCTCCATCGATCCAATCTCGCTTCCCGTTTTCTTTATCCTTAAGATCCATCGCAAGCAATATAGCATTAAGCCTGCTATAGCTGAGCCATCTGTAACCATTGTTTGATTGTTATCTCCTTTATTTTACACTGAAACAAAACTTGGCAATGTTTAATAGGTTTTACATCTTATAATTAATGCCATGGGGTAATGCGTTTTTAAAAGTTAGTTCATTTCCCCAGGTAATAACATCTTCTGTGGTGTAAATGAGAACTGGGTCTTTGTACCTTGGGGACAAACTAAACAATGCAGTGACGTACAGCTTGTGATAATTGTTTGTTGACATTAAAGAGGAATGGGAATGCAAGATAAACATATACTACATGACAGATTGTCAGTTCATGAAAATAGGAAATTATGCTCTTTTTTTTTGCTTGCTCATATCAGGAATGTGCTTAAAATTCAGAGGTCATAGAATATAAACCTTAAAAAGAAATATGTATATAATTATCTTCTTCTACGTTCTGATCCCTTTCGAAGTATCAAAAAGAGTTGCAAGAGTCTAAGAAAAATGAACATTTGGGTTTGAAAAGATGACAATCAGAATTTAAACATACTAAATAATACAAATAGAATGTAACATCTGCTCGAAAAAAACAGAAGGACGTTGAATCGTTGTTAATGTATACAAGTTAACACACTTCTGGCTCCAAACAGTTGATAACACAAGGACGTGATTAGGGAATAATGTTGTCTTGTACAGTTTCGCAATCTGCACAAACATGATTCAATTCTTCTTTAAAAAAATGTATATTTCAATCTCTGAAGAATTTTAACTAAAGCTAATCTATATAAAATGCAGATATCCCTGGGGTGAATGCAGAATTAGGAAATGTATGCCAATGTTTTCTATGATTCATAAGAGAAACAAATCACCCACTATAGCAACAATCCCTAGCTTAAGTCACTTGCCTTGAAGTTCTCCTTGAGGAAAACCAACTAGCATTTGTCATCTTGGCATGCAGCTCACACGACAAAGTGCAGCAGAGAATAAAGGGGTAGTATAGACATTGAGTTACAATGTATAAGTGGAACATCAGTTTGAATTATAGTTTATAAGTCCATGTTGAAGTATAAGGGGAAATTAGTTCTATCAAAAGTAGAGGCAGCATTAACAAGTGGCCTGACAGTAATAATAGAAATAGATGCACATGTAGTAATAGTTGTAAACTAGATGGAATTTTGACTGCGCGCAGTCGAAAATGATGCCTCCGCCATAGAGCAATTTAAACAAGTTTGGAGTTTAAATCTCCAGTGGTTCTTGAGATATCATGATAACAATCTCAATGTATGGAATTTCATAAGTTGACCTCTGTGACCCTTGACCTTTGACCTATGTGCTCCAAAATCTAATCAGATTGTCTTCCTATGGTGATACACACTATCATTAAGTTTGAAGTTTAAATCTCCAGTGGTTCTTGAGATATTATGATAACAATCTCAATACAAGGAATTTCATAAGTTGACCTCTGTGACCTGTGACCTTTGACATACGTGCTCCAAAATCTAATCAGATTGTTTTCCTATAGTGATACACACTATCACTAAGTTTGAAGTTTAAATCTCCAGTGGTTCTTGAGATATCATGATAACAATCTCAATGTATGGAATTTCATAAGTTGACCTCTGTGACCCTTGACCTTTGACATACGTGCTCCAAAATCTGATCAGATCGTCTTCCTATGGTGATACATACTATCCTTAAGTTTGAAGTTTAAATCTCAAATGGTTCTTGAGATATCGCGCTAACAAACTCAATACAAGGAATTTCATAAGTTGACCTCTGTGACCTGTGACCTTTGACCTACGTACTCCAAAATCTAATCAGATCGTCTTCCTATGGTGATAAATACTATTCCCGAGTCTTAAGTTTAAATCTTAAATGGTTCTTGAGATATTGTGATAACGGTCAAACGGGACGGACGTACGGACGTACGGACGTACGGACGGACAACCCGAAAACATGATGCCTCCGGCACCACCTTCGGTGGCGGAGGCATAAAAACGTAGAAAGTACAAATCATATCATAGGAGTAGGAGTAGTATTAGAGGTAAAAGCATCTGAAGTAGAAGTAACATAATATGTAAAGGTAGTAGAAGTAGAAGTAGAAGTAGCAGAATATGTAAAACTAGTAGAAATTGAAGTAATGAAATATGTAGAGGTAGTAGAAGTAGTAGATGTAGCAGCAGTTGTAGAAGTAGTAGAAGTAGTAAAAGTAGTAGAAGTTGTAGAAGTAGTAGAAGTAGCAGTATTTGTAAAGGCAGTAGAAGTAGAAGTAGCAGAAGATATAGAATCAGTAGAAATTGAATTAGCAGCAACTAGTAGAAGTAGCAGGAGATGTAGAAGTAGTTGTAGTAGGAGTAATGGAACATGCAGAAGTAGTAGAAGTAGCAGTATTTGTAAAAAGTAGTAGAAGTAGAAATGGCAGAAGATGTAGAAGTAGTGGAAATAAAAAATATATAGGTAGGACTAAAAGTACTAACGGTACTTGACACATATGCATGGTGCAACAGTGGTGGATGATGTAATCTTTACAAAAAATGGCAAGTATTAATAGCAAGTGAAAGAGAAGAGCAGATTTAGTATAAGAAATGCATTTTCAGGTGCCATCCCTTTTGCAAGCTCAAAGGGTGATCAAGGCTGAGCGATTGAAAGAAATATACAAACAGGTGAGAAATTGAATATTTCGTTTCAACACTTGCTTCGATTTATAACAGTCTCTACCTTACTGTTAGCATGGAGTACCTTTATCATGCAATATCAATATATCCAATCTGTTTCCAATGGACAAAGAATAAAAGAAGAGGATTTTGCTAAATTTTACGAATGCAACTAAATGCTAGTCACGTTCTTCATTCCTCATCACGTTAATCTACTTTTGTCTGCTAAGAACTAGAAGGGTATTAAAATATATACTTTTACATACACCTGTAAGACTAATACCATTCTGGGCAACGTTTCACAAAACCGTCATAAATGCAAGTTCATCAACATCTCATTGAAATAGGTGTTGAATTTGATACACACATTTTTGATGGTTTGTCGGCGAAACTGTGCTTATGACGGTTTCGTTAAAAGATGCCCTGGCTCTCAGTAGACATATTGATAAGTTGATGAGACTCAAACATTACGGGAGACGAGACAAAACTTACCTGTAGAATTCTCCTCTGGCATGTGCGGTGTTTGTAGTACTTGTACACTCCAAAATTATACACTCTCTTCTCCTGGAAGGCGTTGCTGACCTCTGCGATGGTCCTCGCTTCCGTCTCCGCGGACGCCACGATGCCTAGCAACCGTGAGTAGTGGACTGCATCATCGATGGATATCCTTCCAGTCTATCGAAGAGAAACACAATGAGAAATTGAGAAAATAAAACATTTATTATTGTAATCTAGTGATTGAATATTGATGTATGGGCTAAGATGTAAGAGAAACCCCCAATTGAATGGCAAGAAAAAGAAGAAAAGGAGATAAGGAGGGATTCGAAATAGAGAGGGGACATGGAAAGAGAATGAAAAAAGAAAATGCTACATCCTCTGCCACACCCTACCATATTCAATGTGCCCCCCCCCCCCCCCCAAGATGTCATTGTCCCCACAATGTCTGAACACATTATACAGAACTGAAGATAAGCATAAAATACTTACTGTTATAGAAGGGTCTGATGGATGAATACCCCCCCCCCCCCCCCCCCTCTCCACAAGAAAAAATAATTATACATATACAAAATTGAAAAATGAATAATAAATAAACAAATTAATTAATGAATAACAATAAACATAATAATAATATTGTGAATGTGTGGCATTCTTTGGATAGGAATTGAAGAAGAAAAAAACGAATACAAAATGCAAGCTATAAGTCAATTATTTATTACATGGAGCCTTTTAAAATTTAGATTTGTAAGGCAAATTGGCACATCATCATTGAAAGTAATGTGAAAAAATTGTCCATTATATGAAGGGAAAACCACTAATCCATTTACTCAGCTACATCAGAAAAACTTGTGTATCAGTCTATCACTTCAAAATTAAAAGCACTGTGGTGACATGTAATCCATCCATTCACTTGAATATCAATTCAGGGACTCGGGTTGAGCCCTCGACAGGGGCTTACGTAACTCCACAAGGTATATCATCAAGACACCTGTCTTGGGGTTGGTTTCATAAACAGGTAGCTGATAGCCAGGGAGTTCATTGAAAAAAGTGCATGCTGACAATGGCTGCAAAAGCTAAAGCCGGGACAATAATATCAAATTCACCTTGGGAGTGCACAGAGACTTTATTCACGTTGCATTGTACAAAAACAAATGTTTTTATTATCGGGTTATAATAATCCTATTTGATTACGTTATATTAAGATGGATGGAAATAAAAGTTCACCTTTCTGAGAAAAAACAAAGCCTCCATGGATTCATTGTCAATGCCAACTTTCACTTAACAAGTATTCTCAAAATAAAATGTTTAAATTAAGTTGTTGCCAGCTTTCTTGTTAAAAAAGGACAATTATTTGTTTACAAAGTAAAATAAAACCGATTGTTTTGCCAAGTTTGCAATATCCTGTATTGAGGATCTTGTAATGGGTGATATTCTCAGGAAATCGATTCCATTATTCCAGGATATCTTAATTTTGGGGTACAACAGGTCCCTTAACATAATCTATTTTGAAGTTGAGATTTAAAAAAAGTTGGGGTGTACCCAGCATGGCTATGGATATTTCCTTTTAAAGATTTTTTCTTTCAGCTGCCTTCAATTGCAATGCATTAGAGTAAGTCCCTATCAAATTCTTGTTTTTCTCTTGAATTTCTTATTGGTGGTGAAACTTCAGAGGATATAGTTCCAATGGAACCTCAAAAACACTGATATCATTGCACTACCGGTACTATGACGCTGTCTGATTAGATACTTTTTTGAACAAAAACTGAGATTAGTGAATGTTTTTAAAGGCATCGTTTAACAATGTTAAATCTGAGATGCATGGCCCTACCTGTTATCAGTGTCTGTGATATGGTGTAATTGAAGCCCTAAAAAAATTGTGCTTCAAAATGATCAAGAAGTGCCTCTACAAAGTAAAAAACTTTGAGTGACAGGTTTTACCATACTCTGTCACTCAAAGTTTTTTACAATAGACTGTATTGTTATGAAAACTGTTTGATTTCAATTTCCAATCATAAATATCTTTATAATCAGACAGGCGATCGGCTTGTAAAAGTCATAGGGTTCCTGACTGACCAAAAGGTTTATGATTATCATTGCAGCATGAGCTAAATCAAGGATTTGTTTCAGAATCTGAGACAAAGTTACCCAATCCTTTTAACCACTGCTATACTCACTTTGACGAGATTGGTGAGTATCATTCGTTGAGCATCCCCGCTCTTGAAGTTCCTGTCCGTGGCAAACTTCTTGAGGAGGTCGTCCTTATTGTCCCTGGAGATCTTCCTCTTATCTTCCAATTATATCATCCGACTACTCTATCAATGTCTTATTAGATACAATTTAGTGAATGTCTTTCACCACTACAATACTCACTTTGACGAGATTGGCGAGTATCATTCGTTGAGCATCCCCACTCTTGAAGTTCCTGTCTGTGGCAAACTTCTTGAGGAGGTCGTCCCTGTCGTCTCTGGAGATCTTGCCCTGGGCCACCATCAGGTCCAGGAGCTCGTCGCTCCTCTGCCACTCCTTGTCCACCAGGATGGAGGAGCAGACCGACTTGGGGCGGAGGCTGGAGATCCTGGAGCCTCCGGAGCCGCCGCCCCCACCACCGGTGGTGCCATCCTCGTCGCCGGGCGGAGACCTCTGGCGAGAGAAGTGCTTCAGGAGACTACGGCCACGGCTCCTGGAGGACATACGATCCTGCATGGAGAGGTATAGAAAGATGGAACCAGGATTAGAGATGGATTATGATCACTCTTTAACAGGGTCATATATATATAGACCAAATGATTCTGAAGATACTTTTAGAAACAAAAAAAATAAATTACAATTTAAGTGATTGACAAGGGGATAGTAATCATTTAAAGATAATAAATGATGGAAACAGTACAACAAATTTCTCAAATGATGAATGAGTTATTTAATGAAATTTTGTATTGACAGCATCTTTTCATGCTATGCTATGTGAAGAAAGTGATAAGATTGCTTATGAATTATGACTAGAATGTTAGTATTGAAGTATGATTAGAATGAATGATAAATAATTTAGGCCACATAAATACATGGTTAATGAGATTTGTTGTGAAGTGAATGTATGAAGTATGATAGATATTGATCCAATACCCACCAATTTCTCTTTCACCAAAACAAGCATTTTGCAATTACAACCATTTAAATTTCTACTCTCAGGTTAATGAACATTACACCTACCAACATAGGTCAAATGTATCAATTATATTTTTCTTCTGGCCAGAGCCATAATTATGTTTATTAGCAGTCATGTCAAAGGCACTAGCCAGATTAACTGACCGTTATCATAACAGTACTGGCAAATTTCTCTTTGAACATATTAAATAGATGTGTTTTAGTGAATATTTACAAAACACTTTCCCTATAGTTGAAAGAGCCATAATTATGTTTATTAGCAGTCATGTCAAAGGCACTAGCCAGATTAACTGACCGTTATCATAACAGTACTGGCAAATTTCTCTTTGAACATATTAAATTGATGTGTTTTAGTGAATATTTACAAAACACTTTCCCTATAGTTGAAAAGGATTTTTTTGATGCACCATTCAACAACTCAATGTTTACTTCAAAGATTCAACAATATGGCATACTTTTCATCACAGATATATATATATATAGTAACCATTCTTGGATATATAGGAATGAACATTTACTGGTTATAAACTTTCCTTTTCTTTGTTCATAAATAGTTCATAAAATCTTTGTTTTGTTTTAAAATAGTTTATCTAAGCAAAAGCAAACAGAGTCTTATCTCCTCTCCCATCAAAACTTTGACTAGATTTTATGTTGTACCCATCGCAGTCACTTGATTCCTTCCCATGCAGTATGACATCATACATTTCCAGCCCACATGAATTTTTTAAAAATAAATATGCTTGGATCAACTTCCCAATCTCCAACCGCAGGATCATGTGATGAAAGTAAAACGACATCATCCTACGTCGATGGAACAACCTCTCGATCGCTTTGTGAGGGATTGAGCAAGTCCAGAGCGTTTATAAAAAATGTACCTGCACCCCAAGCAGAGATTTGCACCCACTGGGGTATGTCAAGGGTTTTTGGGTGTGAACTACTGATTTAAGATTAACAAGGATCTTTTTAATGAGCTAATGGAATCTGTGCTCTAGAAATGAGGGCCTTGGAAGAAAATACCCCTTGCATGTAAAACAGTGCAGTACATAGTACAGTACATTAAATATAGTGCAATATCATATGAAGGAACACTTTGCAAGGTGGCAGAGGTAATGAATGACATGGTTGATTTGTAGATAGTATAACACAAAACATTTAATATGTTTGAGAGAGAAAAAAGAAGGAAATACTAAGCAAAATGATTTACCTGTACATGCAGAGAAAGGTTAAATTTTGTGTTCAATATTTCTCTGAATATAAAAAGTGAATACTCAGCATGCAAAACAGAACATTTCAAAGTGAGATATACACATTAACAAACTGGCACTTTACTAACAATTTCTTGCATACCGGTAGCTGGTCAGCAATGTTCATTTCCACTTGTAGAATGAATGCCAGTTTTCTTAATTTAAGGTAACCATCTCTAATTTGTTTATTTGTGTATTAATAAAAAAGAAATTCAAGCTATCTTTCCTTCATTAAGTGAAGCAGCTATCAGACAAAGCCTTGTAATTTGCCTCTTTTTCTCCATTTCTCTTTATCTTTATCTCCCCACCCACTTTCTCTATCTCTCTCTCTCAATCCCCCTCTCTCCCTCCTTTGCTATCTTTCTATCGATCTCTCTTCCCCCATCTCTCTCTCTCTCTCTCTCTCTCTCTCTCTCTCTCTCTCACTCTCACTGTTCTGTCTGGTTGACCAGCACGACAACATGATTATCATAAATGAGTAAAAAAGGAACCAGCTCTAATTAGTTTATATGCACATTAATGAACAATAATTTCTAAACATCTTTCCTTTATCAAGTAAAGCAGCAATCAGACAAAACCTTGAAATTTCTCTATTTTTCTCAAATTCTCTCTTTCTCATTATCTCTCCCACACACTCTCTCTATGTCTCTCTCCTTTTCTATCTTATCTATATCTTTCCCATCTCTCTCTCTCTCTCTCTCCCTGCTTTCTATCTATCTATCTATCTCTCCCAATCTCTCTCTCTCTCTCTCTCCCTCCTTTTCTATCTATCTATCTCTCTATTTCCCTGCTTTCTATCTATCTATCTATCTCTCTTTCTCTCTCTCTCTCTCTCTCTCTCTCTCTCTCACTGTTCTGTCTGTTGACCAGCATGTCAACATGATTAACATAAATGAAGAAAAAAAATCAACTTGAAGACCCTCTCTCTTACCCAAGATGCAATCCTACTGTTCCCATTACTACCCGGCACCTCTTCCGGTGCCATGACAACAAATGAAGTGATTCCAACTTAATGTCCGAGCACGGGAGCAACCATTACCATCAACCCGTCAATCAACCAACCATCGATACAAAATGATCCGATACGATACGAAACAATCCAATCCCCCCAAATCAAAACTGATATCCAACTGATAATGGGAGCCCGAGTGAGTGACACACGTTCAGGAAATAATTGCAACCTGGCTCACAAATATTGGCTCAACAATCCTGTTTATATGCTCCCATCCCTAATCGGCAATCCCAATCCAGAGATATTTCTGTGGATGCGTCCTCACGTGTGTCATCCTCTGCAGAATTATCTACATTAACCGGCTCAGCAGCACCCCGAGAGGCGTTTTTTCTAAAGCGTTTTTTCAAACAGATCCTCTTCAGAAGAGGTCTTAACGAAGATCAACAACCCCCGCACATCACAAGGGCAAGCAACGACAGATGCTATTCGCTTAATTACAATTTTTTTAGCACAAACGACGCCAAGCGATCGCTATCTCTTCCTTTCTTTATAAGGCAGTCTTTCCGAAGGTTTACGCAGAATTATGCATTGTTGATCAACTGGTAATTAGAAGTGTATCATCTTACGTTCAGACATAATTGTAGTGAGTAATGTTGTTTGATACACAAGACATCTGCTCTGTCTTTGCCCTTTATTAAACATACAAGACATTATACTGAAGGCATTTTTCAGACCATAACTTTTCAAAGTTAAACCATAAGACTGCATTTGCCAATTAACTACCAGTACTCTAGCAACTTCCTTCCACAGCTGTGATGTAACAACATTATTAATTATGCCCTTAAGGTGTTTGCAGGTCAACAGCTTGGTTAAGTTGATGCTGTCAATGGTCATCCTTTAATTAGGCAGTTGAAGATATCAAATTATTGCAGATATCACATTGTTGTCTACATGTTACCAGTAAGTTCGACTGATGCTGTGATTTCATATGTTATTTTGATGGGTAAAGGGAGCGGGGGTGATCATCTTTGATATGAACTTAGATACTTTAAAGGGGGTTTTCATCTAAACAGGGGTTTTGTACAACAATTTTTCTTGAGACAATTGCTCTGTGATCAATTTCCTACATTAAACAAATTTGTAACTTCATCCTGGGATCAAACGCTATGCATAACCCTAACCCTAACCCCAACCAAATGTCTTTGGCGAAATAAAAAACAGAAAATCAATAAAAATCTTTCTCCTTTCCTGATGTGGGGAAGGGTGGAGGGGGTTACCACAGGGGTGTGACATGGGACCTATCATATTCAGACATTTTGAGATCTGGAGCACTTATTACACACAATGAAAGGAGAGCAGGGTGAAGATGGAGAGAAAAAGTTTTCCAAGCATGTAAGAAATGTTATCATGATTACACAGAACACTTGAATACTGCTTAACTAAGATTGTAACAGCAGTATTCATGTACAGGAAAAACTACTCAATTTGTAGTTTGAATACTACAAAAGGATGTACCATATTGAAGGTGCTTTTATTTGGGATCACACAAAAGTCCAACAACAGTGAGCGATAATTTCAGAAGGATCTAAAAGTTTACAACCAAAAATTAACGTTTATTTTCAGAGAAGTTACAGTCATTCACCAATAATTTCACATATGGAGTTGGAGTTGGCAGAGCAGGAAACCAATTAACCTGGTTGAGGTATTACAGGGACTAACAGACCCAATTGCATACACGTATGTTGTATCTGCTGAGCTAAAGTCAAATATGAATACTTGGCACATTAATAGGAGGGTCAAATCTGACTGACATGAGCGCTATACAAGAACCCACTATTATTATTATTATTATTATTTAAGAGGAATATTTGATACACCAGGAAAAGTGAGATTTTATTCTCTCACCGATCGCCCTACAAGAGTTCTACAAGATTGAAATTATCAAAAATGGCTTTTACAATATCAGATGTAAAGTCACCTTTTTTATCTTTCCAACTCAAGAAATCATGTGGCTCCATACATTTGAATACAATTAAAACTGACTTTATTTAGCCATGTACAGTTCAATTCGTATTCTATTGATTACAATCTAATGGGATCATTCTCAATTTTTGTTCGATATCGATCAATAGATAACAAAATTCAAAATTATAGTGTAACAAAGATAACCCAGTGCAAACGTCAAAATTACAATTGTCAAAATTACAATTACCAGGAATGACAAATATTACACACACTTTGAAACAATCACACCCCCCTCCCCCCACCCTGAAATAAGGGGAGAATGGAGCGACAACAGAAGGAAGGTTTGTAAAGAAGAAACCTTGAAATTAC